TGTCCCAGTCAAACTTAATCACCCTGTACGATGTCTGGTACAAAATTGATTACCCTATGTGTCAACACTATGATCACCCAGATTCTGTCCAAACCCTTGAATCACCTTGTCAACACTTTGATCACTAAGAGTCTGTCAAATATATTGATTACCTACTGTCAACACTTATCAATCCTAGATGTCTGTCCAAAATATTTATCACCATGTTACTATCACACTTTGATAACCCCTAGTGTCTGTCCAAGAATTGATTACGTTATGTCTGTCAACACTTTGGAATCAGCCAAGAAATGTCGTCCAAAATATTGAATTACCCTATGTCTGCAACAGACTTTGATAAACCTCTAGGTGTCTGTCCAAATATTTTATCACGTCTATGTCTGTCAACACATCTTGATCACCCTGTAGATGTCTGTCCAAGATAATTGATTACCCTTTTCTGTCAACACTTGATCACCTGTAGATGTCTTGTCCAAATATGATTACCCTATGTGTTTGTCCTTTGAATTCACCCGTTTAATTGTCTGTCCACAATATTGATCACAAGTATGTCCACACTTTTTTGTATAACCTAGGTGTCTGTCCCAATCATTGATAACCCTATGTCTGTCCAAACACTTTTGATCAACCCTAGATGTCCTGTCCGAACTAATTGAATTACCCTATGTCTGTCATGCACTTTAATCACCCTGTAGATGTCCTGTCCCAAATATTGATTTACCCTATGGTCTGTCAACACTTTGATCACCTAGATGTCTGCACAAACATTGATTACCTTATGTCTGTCAACCCCTTTTGATCAGCCTAGATTCCTGTCCAATATTAATTACCCTATGTCTGTCAACACTTTGATCAATCCTAGATGTCTGTCCAAATATTTATCACTCTATGATCTGTCAACACTTTTGATCACCCTGTAGATGTCTGTCCAAATATTGATTACCCTATTTTTGTCGTCACTTTGATCACCCTGTTGATGTCTGTCCAAATATGATCACCCTATGTCTATCACACTTTGATAACCCTAGTGTCTGCCCAAACAATGGATTACTATATTCTGTCCAACAACATTCGATCAGACCTAGATGTCTGTCCAAAATTGATAACCTATGTCTGGTCAGACACTTTGGATATCCCTAGATTGCCCTGTCCAAACATTGTTACCTACATGGTCTGTAAACACTTTTTGATAACCCCTTAGGTGTCTCTGTCCAAAATATTGATTACTTATGTTGGTCCACACTTTTATCAGCCTAGATGTCTGTCCAATATTAATACTATCTGTCAGTCCAACTTTGATCATCATTAGATCGTCCCAAAATATTGATTACTAACTGTCTGGTCCCAAACACTCTTGATAATCCTAGATCTTAGCAAGATATTGATAACCCTATGTCTGTCACACTCTTTGGATCAGATCCAAGATGATCTGTCCAAATATTATTACCCTAATGTCCGTCCAACAACTTTGATCACCTAGAATGTCTGTCCAAATGTTGATTCCCTATGTCGTGTCGTCACTTTGATCACTCTGTTGATGTCCCTGTCCAAAATATTGATTTCCGTCTATGTCCTGTAAACACTTTGATCAGCCCAAGAATGTCTGTCCAAATAGTGATTACCCTAAAATGTCCTTGTCAACACTTTGATCACCCTAGATGTCTGTCCAAAATGTTGATTACACCCTATGTCTGTCGTCATTGATCACCCTGTGATGTCTGTCCAAATAATTGATTTACCCTATGGTCTGTCAAACACTTTGATCAGCCGTAAGATATTCTGTCCAAATAAATTGATGTACCCTATGTCTGTCAACACTTTGATAACCCTAGGTGTCTTGCCCAAATATTGAATCACCCTGTCAACACTGTGATCACCCTGTAGATGTCTGTCCATAATATTTGATAACCCTAATGTTCTGTTGTACACTTTGAAATCACCTCTGTTTGATGTCTGTCCAAACATTGATTACCCTATGTCTGTCAACACTTTGATCACCCTAGATGTCTGTCCAAACATTGATTACCCTATGTCTGTCAACACTTTGATCATCCCTAGATGTCTGTCCTGACTTAGATAACCCTATTTCTAGTCAGTCAGTCTAAATTTTGATTTTCACACTGTTATCACTGTATGACTAACCAAACTTTGATCTGTCTGTGAACAACCCCACTTTATCTGTTGTCATTGATCACCAAAACTCTTTCAACACTTTAATCACCCTGACTATGAAAACATTGATCTCCTGATGTCAATCCAAATATGGATCACACCATGATTGTTCTAGCTTTGATCACCCGAATAACTGCCCGTGCTTTATCAGTCTTTGTTAGTGCTTGATCACTTACTGACTTTCCACACTTGGATAACTGTATGTCTGTCGATCTTAACCATATTGAGGAAAGTTTTTTCTAAAAGCCCTCTACTAAATTGTTAAATTCATGATTGCCATGATAAACAAAATCTTGCATTATGTTGTAAGTTCCACTTTTCAAAATCAGTTGAGCTATTGTCATGACCATCTCAAGAGCTATTTACTTTAAGCACATTTCTGGTTGTAGAGGTAATCCGACACTAAATCAGATTTTTTGCAATATCCTATCTTTGTGTATATATATCGTCTGGTACTTTAAATTCATCCCTGTCCCAAAGTCGTCACACAGTATAAACAAATGTATGTTACAAAAGAAACATCAGTTAATTGAATATCTGTGCTGAAGACCTTTATAACATTAATACTTGGGGTATTAGAAAATTTATAGTGTAAAGTAAGAAACTAGAAAAACGTAAAAATTCATGGGCCAACCCTTATTTCCCAAAAAAAAACCTCTGGTTTTTATAATATTTACTTATAACACTACGCTAAAAGAAACACTTAGTTGTGGAAAAATGAAATTGTTTGGGACTGGTTTGGTTTTATGCGCGCACCAAAACACGGGATATAATTGCACTGAAACCGAACAGAATGGATTTTTGGGTAACTTGGCAAAGGGTTTGGCGTTCCAAAAACATCAAACCCAGGGGTGAACCACGTCTCTGCTGGAGCTAAGAGATGCATGACATAAGTTATTTGAAACCCCCATTTTAATGCCTTTGCAATCACCAGGATATAAATGGCTGAATTCCCTTTGCCTTGCCATTCATGACAACCCTTTACTTGCAAAGTGATTGAGTTACGGAAAGGACCGCTAGACTTTTTCTACAATAATAGAAAATGTTCATTTTTAACAAGTGCAAAATGGATAGTAAGTCTTAAAAGAATGCCGAAAATTCAATGCCCCTTTGTTAAAAAGTTTTAAAAATTAAAAATTTCCGCTTTAGGGAAAAAACCCTAAAAACATTGCAGCGCCTGGTAAACTCTAAAAATTCCTTGTAAAAAATAATTTCCCAAAGCAAAACGTTTTTTTTATTTAAAAATTTGAATTCCATTTATTTTAAAAAAAAAAATATGTTCAAAGCTCAGTTTTTTATTCTTTACCTGAATAAAAAGGTTTAGAAACTTCCGGTTTAAACTGGGGAAAGAAGATACTGTTATTCAAATCGGGAAAAAAAAATGCCCCAAGGCTTAAATTTTCATAAAATTTTACAAAAAAAGGGGAGACTGATTTTGTACATCGGGAAAAAAGAAACAGTGAACATTTTCTCTGCCCTACCCCAGTTAAAGGTACCAATTTTCTTTTAAAAAGGCTGGAAGGATAAAAAGTCAGGCCGCGCCAATTAACATACATACTAAGCGTTGGACTTTGGCAATTTGAGAAGTATTTTTAGTAAATAATTTATAATCATCAAATCTTTCATCATTAGTTTTTTCGTGTGGCTGCTTTTAATTGGTCAATTTTCATAGTTGTTAAACGCTAAGTAAGGTTGAAATTATATACCCGTGATAATCACTTCATACACTATTGGATAAAAAGCAGGGTTTGTTAACCTGCCTACATCTGAGTGAGTTGAGGTAATTTAAATTACGTTTGGCAATTTATAAGATTGTACGGATATTACATTCATGAAGAGCAGCTAATTATGAATTTAACATTTGAAATCCTTGAAACTGCTCGGAAGAAAATCAATAAAAAAAATTCACCAAGTTAGCAGTAAAAATCAATTGAAATAAACGGCAAGACAAATAAAATTTAATAAGTGACTATCCCCCCCCCCCAATATAAATATGGAAGAAAGATAATAAAAAGTTGAAAGTCTGATTTCTTTTAAAGCTTGCCAGAAAAAAAATGCTGTCCAATTCCTTGTGTATGTACCAGCTAAGAATAAAAACAAACACTAATTCAATTTCATTAATTTTCTTTTTTTTTCTCATCTTAAATAATGGTATAGCTTGCATTACCTGTGGGGGCATGTACCAGGGAAAGTAAGGCCTCAACATCAGACGGTAGCGATTTTGAAGTACAACACCAATTAAAAACTAAGATGTACAGACAAATCTTAATGTGTGAAGGCTACTATTTCTTGATTTCGGAAACCTTAAGTCTAGATGTAAGGATTAGGCTACACGTTCTATTTTGAAAATCTTGTCGTACAGATTTTTTGCAGATCTCCCACAATGACAAGTAACAGATAACCAAATTATCTCCTGATAATGGGTGTAATGAATGAAATTCCAGAACAATTGGGGCTAAAAGGTAAACATAGTAGTAAGATGGGGTAAAAATGATGTTGAAAAACTTTTCAGGAGACCCAAAGTTGTGTTATGTTTCGAATCCCCAAATTATTCCGAAAATGATTATGTCAAGGTTATTGAATTGTTCTCTAATTAGGGGAGGGGAGGTAGTTTCTAGGCGGCCAGATAGCTAGTCAGTAGAGGCCGCAGTACGTATTCCGAGGGTCCCAGGTTTGAGTCTCGGTCAGGCTTCACATTAAAAATATAATATATATATATTAAATGGAGGTGTTTCAATCATTACTCATGGCGAAAAAGTATTTAGTTGAGCTAAAGTATGTAAAGGGATCCTTTTTAGGGGAAACCTCAGATGATTCTTACAGTGTAGAATTACCGTCTGAATGCAAGTGTTGTATAGCTTTGAAAATTGTACATCTTATCTCTAATTAGTGCTGTACAACTAAATCCTGTTGAGGCCTTAAGTCAAAGAAAAATTGTAAATTTCACAAAATTCCAGTTTAAAACATAAGTAGCCTTCACGGGAAAAAATCCAACAAAAAAGCATTGTAATTGTTATTTCTTTTACAGAATTTGATGAACCCTGCATCACACATATAAACAAATCAATACTGCATGGTAACAAAATTTCAAAACCATTATTTTAGCAATTGTAAAATAAGCATTTAAAAAGACTTTTCAGTAACAAGTAGCAATAATAATACAGAAAACTATTCTTCAAACAAAAAGAAATTTTAATTGATACACTATTTTTCCTAAAAAAAATTCTGGATAATTTTATATTCAAAACAAGAACACAATACAAATTAAGTTATTATAATGTTTTTTTTTGTATAGACTTCATGTTCTTCATTCACCAAAAAAAGAATAGATTTATTTACACTACTTTTCAAACAAAATTTTATTTATTCTATATTTAAAAGAGAAGACCTCAACTTATTTTTTTTTTCTTTTTCACATACACATCAGTCATTTAGGGAAAGCATAAATATCATCAATTCATAAAGAAAATCAATTTACAGCACTGATTAACACTTTTCTCGCACAAAAATGTGTTCGTACATATACATGTATTTTATATATCAAAAGTCTCTGACTGATTAACATTTTATCACTAAATGGACAGAACATAGTTCAGAAAGCACTTTTTGTTTTCATTTTCACCAAAATGGACTTAATTTAGCACTGATTTGCTTTACACATTTTTCACAAAGTACTGACAGCACAAAGTTTATTTATAGTATGCATTGATTGCCCGTGCAATAACAAGTCTTCTGATTTCACTGGTCCCGGCTCCAATCTCGTACAGTTTAGCATCACGTAGAAATCTGCCAGTGGGGTAATCATTGATGTATCCATTTCCACCTATATTGGGATACAGAAAATAATACATTAAGCAAACTTAAAACTTTAGATAATTAGACTTGTCAAGGTTTACATTTTCTGGCCAGTTTGTTAAGAATCATATTTTGGGATATCAAGTTGAAAATTGTTTAGGAAATAGACATCAATTTTGAGTGCCTTGTTGTAGAATAATGTATGAATCATTTTCAAATGTGCACGAATATTATCACAAAGCATTTTGAAAGATAAACCTGCAAGAAAAACGAGTATCTATTTCCATTACAAAAGAAAATTGATAAAAAATTGGTAGAATAAATTCCCTGACATCAATTGGTAAACTGATGTCATATCTGACAGCACATGCCATGCATAATTTGTGTAATAATGTCCTCAACTGTTTTTATAGGAGAATAATGTGGAGCGCGTGAGAATAATCAGTATAGAGCCTGGCTGGACATCGTGGATTAGATGGTTCAAATATATGCTAATACTTGTATGTTTGCCATGAAAAATTTTACATTAGGAGTCCTGGGAGCATTACACTTTTTATAGGAGAATAATGTGGAGAGCGTGAGAATAATCAGTATAGAGCCTGGCCGGACATCATCGATTTGCAGGTTCAAATATATGCTAATACTTGTATGTTTGCCATGAAAAATTTTACATTAGGAGTCCTGGGAGCATTTCACTTTTCAAGTACATGTACTTGCCTTTATATAATTGATATATATTACACAATGCTGCTAACTTAAACTAACTAGTCACAATTCAGTATAAGACTGCTCTTTTTTGACACATGACATTAAAAATACTTAAAAAGACGCGGTCTTATAGTGTTTAGAATATACCTAGGATCTGTATAGCATCTAATGCCATCTGTGTAGCCGCCTCAGCCGTATACAGTATCACACCAGCACAGTCCTGTCAAACAAAACAAAAATTTAAAATGATAAATTTACACAAGTCATACTAAAATTTACCCAATTAATAATTAAAAACACAGATTATTGTCTATACAGTGAAGTATAACCACAGTTGATTCGAATTCGATTTAACTAAGATCACTTCAGACAAGTGTGAATACTTAACAAGTCTGTCCTGAACATGCTAAGTAAGTACTAGCACTTGCCTCTCTTTGTAACTGGTATTTTAAAGCGACCTTAGGCTTTTATTTTCTGTTAAAAACAATTCTTTGTTGTTTCAAACTAAGTATTTCAGTAATTTTATCTTGGAAAAGTGCATTATATCACTGTTAAGTCTTCTGAGAGCTATTTATAACGCATCGGTGACATTTGTTTCCAAAAATGGAATTCGATCAGTAAAGGCAAATACCACTTATCATGGGGTTTCCTTATTATGAATTTTATTGTTGGCAAATTTCACTGTACAAGGTACATACATCTTAATTCTTTTGATGAAACAATTTATTTAAAAATAAACATATTTAATCTTGAGAAAAGCTGAAGGCCGCTTTAAGAAGTTTCAGTATCAAAAATCTAACATAACCGGTACTTAGCTACTAGTATGAAGTGTGATTAGGCTGAATTGACGCACAGGCTAGGATTGTCTTACTACAATATAGGTAAATTATCAGTGTTGATAACATTCACACAGATAATTGTTCATCTTTAACATTTCATTCAGTACTGTTTCATTATTTGTTTTGCCTACAGAAAATATAATACTCATACAAACTTCATAATGAAATTAAAACCATGTTTTACTTCTGTATAAATGTCAATAAATTGGAGATTGTATCATCAACACTTACATTAGGATTGATATGACCTTTGTCCAGTGACCTTGCAACATTATAAACATAGGATCTACTTGCACTTAATGTTGTATACATGTCTGCTAACTTAGCCTGGATCATCTGAAATAATAACAATAGTAATATGTCAGGTAGCATTCTGTTGAGAGAAATATGTCGGGCAACGAAGTTAACTTTTAACTAACCTGCCTACTGACCAACAAATACTTCTTCAATCAATAACTACAAACAAGTGTTTCGTAAAGAATATTTGAATAAATTATTTTCAGTTCATTTCAAGATAGTAAAACAGAGATAAATTTGACAAGTGACAATTTTAAAGCTTTCCATAAGACAAGTTGCCAGCCAACGGACCTTTCCAGTGTTTACAGTGTTATGTAAATTGGCTAACTTGTTATCCAAATGCTACTCTGAGATAATACATAGTCACTGGTTGACCTGGTTTGCAAAAAAGAACACATGGTTATGTTTGTGATACTGTTTGTGAGCAGTTGACCTAGCAATGAATGGAAAAGGTGTGGCTAACTGTTCCACTATGAACAAGAGCGATCAGTGATCACATGGGCCAATTTCATGTTGGGACAAGTTTTGTGACAGACGGACAGACAGACGGACAGTGCACAACTAGACTTGGTACTGATCATTCCTGTAAAATTTGGATAAAATTGCACCAGTAGTTTATGAGGAGTAGTCCGGACAAGCTTTTGTGTATCTGTCAACACACAGAAAAAAACACCTTTTTATCAAAGGGCCATAACTCGGCCAAAAATCATTCAACCGGAAAACCCGTGCAATATGTGCCATGACTTGAGCTACAGATCAATCCTGTAAAGTTTCATTGAAATTGCATTAGTGGTATAAGAGAAGTAGTCCGGACAAACTTTAAAAATAAAAATTATTAAAGGGCCATAACTCTGACAAAAATCATTGAACCGGAAAATGCTGACAATATGCATAACTAGACTTGGTACTGATCATTCCTGTAAAGTTTGGATGAAATTGCACCAGTAGTTTATGAGGAGTAGTCCGGACAAGCTTTTGTGTATCTGGCAACACACAGAAAAAAACACCTTTTTATCAAAGGGCATATCTCGGCAAAAATCATTCAACCGGAAAATCCGTGCAATATGCGCAAGGGCTTGAGCTACAGATCAATCCTGTAAAGTTTCATTGAAATTGCATTAGTGGAATAAGAGAAGTAGTCCTGACAAACTTTAAAATTAAAAATTATTAAAGGGCCATAACTCTGACAAAAATCATTGAACATGAAAATGCTGACAATATGCACAATTAGACTTGGTACTGATCATTCCTGTAAAGTTTGGATGAAATTGCACTAGTAGTTTATGAGGAGTAGTCCGGACAAGCTTTTGTGTATCTGGCAACACACAGAAAAAAACACCTTTTTAGCAAAGGGCCATAACTTGGCCAAAAATCATTCAACCGGAAAATCCGTGCAATATGCGCAAGGACTTGAGCTACAGATCAATCCTGTAAAGTTTCATTGAAATTGCATTAGTGGTATAAGAGAAGTAGTCCGGACAAACTTTAAAAATAAAAATTATTAAAGGGCCATAACTCTGACAACAAGAACCGGTTGAACCGGGTGATGCTCCCCGAGAAGGTTCTGGACACAGGAAAGTATAAAAAAAAATGAACAAAGGGCAAAAACTCCAAAATTAGGCAAAGCGGAGTTATGTTTTTTTGCACTGCACTTCTATTCAATGAGATCTATCTATCTATCTATAAAGTTTCCTGATGATATCAGAGTTATGTCCCAGGTAAAAGTCAAAGTGTAAAAATGAACAAAGGGCAATAACTCCAAAATTAGACCAGGCTTTGTTTAGGTTCTTTAAGCATAGCAGTTCTATCCAATTATATCTAGCTACCTACAAAGTTTCATGTTGATATCTCTAATAGTTTTAAAGTAATGTCCAGGTCAAAAGTCAAAAAGTAAAAATAAACAAAGGGCAATTACTTCAAAATAAGGCAAGGCAGAGTAATGATTCTTAAGCACTGCACTTCCACCCAGTGAGACCTATCTGTCTACAAAGATTCATGTTGATATCTCTTATAAATTTAGAGTAATGTCCCAGACAAAGTTCAAAGTGTCAAAATGAACAAAGGGCAATAACTCCAAAAGTAGGCAAGACAGTGTTACAGTTCTTGTGCACTGCAAACTTACTCAATGAGATCTATCTACCTACAAAGTTTTATGTTGATATCTCTTATACATTAAGAGTTATGTCCCGGACAAAGTTCAAAGTGTAAAAATAAACAAAGGGGGATAATTCAAAAATTAGGCAAGACAGAGTTAAGGTTCTTGTTCACTGCACACCTACTCAATGAGATCTATCTACCTACAAAGTTTCATGTTGATACCTCTTATACTTTTAGAGTTATGTCCCGGACAAAGTTCAAAGTGTAAAATAAACAAAGGGGGATAATTCAAAAATTAGACAAGGCAGAGTTACGTTTTTTGTGCACTGCACACCTACTCAATGAGATCTATCTACCTACAAAGTTTCATGTTGATACCTCTTATACTTTTAGAGTTATGTCCCGGACAAAGTTCAAAGTGTAAAATAAACAAAGGGGAATAATTCAAAAATCATGCAAGGCAGAGTTATGGTTCTTGTGCACTGCACACTTACTCAATGAGATCTATCTACCTACAAAGTTTCATGTTGATACCTCTTATACTTTTAGAGTTATGTCCCGGACAAAAGTTCAAAGTGTAAAATAAACAAACGGAGATAATTCAAAAATTAGGCAAGGCAGAGTTACGGTTCTTGTGCACTGCACACCTACTCAATGAGATCTATCTACCTACAAAGTTTCATGTTGATACCTCTTATACTTTTAGAGTAATGTCCCGGACAAAGTTCAAAGTGTAAAATAAACAAAGGGGAATAATTCACAAATTAGGCAAGGCAGAGTTACGGTTCTTGTGCACTGCACACCTACTCAATGAGATCTATCTACCTACAAAGTTTCATGTTAATACCTCTTATACTTTTAGAGTTATGTCCCGGACAAAGTTCAAAGTGTAAAATAAACAAAGGGGGATAATTCAAAAATTAGGCAAGGCAGAGTTACGGTTCTTGTGCACTGCACACCTACTCAATGAGATCTATCTACCTACAAAGTTTCATGTTGATACCTCTTGTTGTTTCAAAGTTATGTCCCGGACAAGAAAAGGGGACGGACGGACGGACGGAAAGACGGATGGACGGACGGACGGACAAGGCGGCCACTATATGCTCCCCCGAAATTTTTTCGGGGAGCATAAAAAATCATTGAACCAGAAAATGCTGACAATATGCACAACTAGACTTGGTACTGATCATTCCTGTAAAGTTTGGATGAAATTGCACCAGTAGTTTATGAGGAGTAGTCCGGACAAGTTTTGTGACGGATGGACAGACGGATGTACCAATTTTTCAGGTTTATGAGCTATTTCTATTGTTCTTTTCTTTTGTTTCCTTGTGGGCTAACTATTGTTTCCTTATGAGCTAACTATTATTTACGGAATGAAGTCCTTTGTTCTCTTTTGTCCCAGTTTACCGTTAGTTAGCTCATATACTTAAACTATTTGTGCGGACAGACGACGGAGAAGTGATCCCTATATGTTGCCACTACTCCGTAGAGGCGACACAAAAAACGGACAGGTTGATTATCTGGTATTGCTAGTTACTGTTACATAAAATAAAGAATCCCCTTCCAGCGCCCTCTCTCATTTTCACTGGCTACTTTAAAATTTATAAAGAAATAAATTTCATTTGTATTTTTCAACATATAACATTGGACAATACCTGAAGATTTGTCATTTATAAAACAGGTTTACTGTTATATTACAATGTTATTATATTTGTTATGCTTATGGTCAGCAAGCATTATAGTTCATACAGAAGTAATTTCAGTTAGTTTGTATATGAAGCTACAAGCTTATAGGACAAAAAAAAATCAGTTCCTGGAACAAACCAGTACTATGCAAAGGGTTTTGAGTTTCTTCCTGAAGGAAACAATGGTTTACCGAACCTAAATAGAATTGTGTATCACTTTATATACATATGTGTATGATATGGGTGCAAGTTGAAAATATCAGAAAGCATGAAAACCCTGAATTTTGTATTATTTCAATTTTTTTTATATAGAAATAGGGATACTTCAAGAGAAGAAAAAAACTGATATTCAGGCAAATGCCTGAAAATTTGCACCATTATATACATAATTTACCGTTTGAAATCTTACCTGAAAATGCCCAATTTTCTCACCAAAGCATTCTCTCTCATGAGCATATTTGAAGGCAACATCACAGCATGCTTGCATTATTCTGTAATTAAAAATAAAAATAAAAATTATTTTACAGAACATACATTTTACAAACAAAGTGATTAAAAAGACCAGACTAGTTTTTTTTCAATACTAAATGAAAAATTAGATTTTAATGCAAATATCAAAAGTAAAGTTTAACTAAATTAAAAGCAACTCCATCATTAAACTGCAAGTTCTTAATTAAACTTATGTCACAAATAAGTAAATACTGGTATGTAGCTACAAGTTGCAAATTCAACAAGAGCTGTCGGTAGGACAACAACGCTCGACTATTCTTAGTGCTTGATAGTAAAAAAAATGCTTGATACAGTTACCTCCTCCTGTTTACAGGTTGGGGTCATGATGGTGAACAAGTGTGCAAAGTTTCAAAGCCATATGTCAATGGACTTTGAAAATATTTGAACTATTACAAAAACTTTAACGTAAATTCTAAGTCGAAAAAGGGGCTTAATTCTGTCAAAAATGCTTGATAGAGTTACCTCCTACTGTTTACAGATTGGGGTCATGATGTTGAACAAGTGTGCAAAGTTTCAAAGCCATATGTCAATGGACTTTGAAAATATTTTGAACTATTACAAAAACTTTAACATAAGTGGTTACGCCGACGCTAACGCTCGGGTGACTGCAATAGCTCTACTTATTCTTATCGAATAGTCGAGCTAATAAGTAACTTCATTTGGGAGGGAAAAAACTGAATTTTGTACATGAATCATGTTTTTTAGAATTTGCTGCAGAAGCAGTAACATATTTTTTAAAGAATTTTCAGATACATGATAATACTTAAGAATGCATTGGACACTTGCCAAGCTAAATATCTTATAAATATAATATGGACTTGCCCATCTTTAAATCCAGACAAACCAATTCTTTTTTTTAGGGAGATATCAAAATATGTACTGAATTATTTATCATAACCAACAGTGCAGACCAATTGATTAGACAGCTGATCATTATCATAGCATGATGGAATTTGTTCCTGCCAGCAGATTAAGGGTCAAAATAATGTCCTTATATTGCATTAACACAAAATATTTTTAGGTAGAGAAATAAGATATCAACTTTGAGAGTCTTGTCTCAGAGTCTTGTCTCAGATTAGGGAATGGTTTCAATTCAAATGTGCGGGAAATAAAAATTCAAAATTTCCCAGTCTAAACCCTTTTTCTGCACTAGGGGAAATAAAAATTTGGTGCTAGGGGGAATTTGGGGTTACTATTTTTGAGTCACATTTTAAAACAGGGACACGGAAAGCCTAAATTGCCAAAGGCTTGTTCTTTAAATAATGAAAAACACAAAATCACATATGGGAAAGCAATATTTCAATTAAAAAGGGTTAACTGAAATTTTGAGAGGGGCCAGAAAAAAGCTATTTGAAAAAAGGGACAATAAAAAATTTTAAATTTTACAAAAATGAATTTAGGGTAAGTTTTGGGGAAAAATTTTTTTAAAGTTTTTAAAAAAAGTTTAAATTGAAATAAATTTGAATGATTGTTTTAAGATTTGGGTAAAAGCTGTAGGATTTGGGTTAAGGTTGATGGAATGGGGTTAAAATGCAGGAATTGGGTTACGGTTGCAAGATTTGGGTAGATATTTTAAGTATTGGGTAAAGGTTGCAGATAATGTAAGGGATATATGAACTTTATCTTTATGTTACTTTTTATCTTTTGACACTAAAATTGATGATAGAGATTTGGAAAAATTTATCTCAAATGGGATGATCACTTAAGAATAATGAAAACAAACTTTTTGCAGACTTGCTTTCACTGGGTCTGTTCATGATTAACAGTGATTTAAGCATACAGGATTTTTTCTCAGCACTTTGGGAACATGACCCAATCCTTAGAATTGGGAATTTTTATGTTTCAGACAAATTGGGAAAAACTGACCAAAATACTTGTATACATAAAATAAGAGAAAGAAATCAAATATTAATCTCCTTTTTTTTACTTATAAGCATTTACAATTTGGAATGCAAGTTGACAATTTTCACAGCACAGTTCCCATTGGCAATCCCAAACATAATTGCCATGTTCCAAAAAATACCGGGAAAAATAAGGGGATAATAATTCATTAATTGTATTAGCTTTTGATAATGAAACTCTTTTTGCCTATCTGCTTAGTAATTATTTATTAACCACCCCATGATTGTTATACAAAAAACTATGATTGATTCTCGCCCACTTCAAGCCATGTCATGCACACACTTACCCTAATGGTCCGCTGAAAAGAATGCATCTTTCTATGTCAAGACCACTCATCAACACATAAACTCCTCTGTTCATGTCCCCCAGCATATGATCAGCTGACAGAAATAGGTAAAATACGAGGATTAAAAGGAAAGACATCAACAGTACGAGCGTGAAATATCAAAATGTTTTATCACAGTAGAGAGTCCATATTTATTTAAGTACCTGCCCCATCCCAACAAAATTTATATATACAATGTATAAGAGCTATGACTCCTCTAGATAGTTCACTTTCGTACATTTGCAATTAATAACCTATTACATTGTATTTGCTTATTTTCAACACCAATTCATTAATTCTAACAGTGTTATGTAACAATTAGGGCACATAGTTGCATAACAAATGCTCTTGGATTCTGTATCAGAACAAACCAGATTTACATCAGCAACCTGTCATGTCTCCTTCAATGTGCACAAATATTTGCATAAAAATAAAGTTGTTAACCAAACTGCCATAGGGAAAAAGGTTCATAGAACTAACATTGACACTTTAACTCCTGAGTTCAGAAATAATGCTTCATCAACTACCCTTCCAAATACTGAAGAAAATATCAACACCCCCACTCCCACCGCCCCCGCCTGTAATAAATGAAGTTTATGTAAATGCTGCTGAAAAAATCTCAAAAGAAACACAATCGTATTTAAATAACCATTGATATTTCACATTTCCTTTACTCTGTACCTTGATGTAAGAGGGTTATATAGCACATAAATTATGCTGCAGTTTTTCTAGCATGTGCAAGGCAAATAGGGATATCTTTACATACTATATTTCTAATTATATAATGTCAAACAAACCAAATTAATATAACTTCCATGCTTAAATCATTGAATGCTAGCAGCAATATGGACAAACTAAAGCCACCAGTATACAGATATTCCAGTCTGCATTACCCATGCAGTGTTATCAGACTATACTGTTGACTTCCCAAAGTTTAGCATTATCAGAGACTTATAATATTAGGGTTAAAAAGCTTTAAAATTAGAGCATTTTCTTATCTAGATCTGCAATCTGCGCGAGATTCATTGGCCCTTGAAGTTGGCCGATTTCCGCCATCTTGTTTTATATAATCATATGTGTTTACATTTTCATCCATAACAGTAATAATTTACATCTGCTTAATCTTTAGGTTATTTAATATTTTGCAAATACCTTTTCTTTACTTCTTTTGATACCGTAACACATATCCAACAAGACCGCAACTACAAAAGATACAGCGGAACATGGTCTTGGAAAATCTCACGAAAAATGTGAAATTGCGGGATTATTAATCCCTTTAAAATAACAATGAACACTTCCGAAATTCAAAGCAGGGCAAGTCCAGTACCAAAATTTTGCTGTGAAAGCGTTACATGACAGGAATATTTCTATCTAGCTTCTACATACAGAACATGAGCATTACACATAACAGAGGAGTAAAATATAAAGCAAGAGTTGTCCACCCTGATCTTGTGAGGCCATGAACTATTGATTTTAGAATTAAGCACCTTACATTCAGCCACAAAAGAAACACAAAAGGCTATTGTAGCTATAGTTTTTATGAGGATAATATCATAAAAGCACCAATTACTAGAATACTTTTATTTAGGTACATTTTGAATAAGGGTTAAACTTCACTTGCATTTTCTTATATTATAAGTTAGGGTTAGACAAAATACTTATAATATATATTTTGTGTAAGGAATTTTTAAGTAAAAAGGCATAAAACAGTCTTGTTAATTGAGAATACTGCTCACCCTAACGGTCCAGACGCCCCAAGCCCTCGCTCTAAGTCTAGTCCTGACATTAAAACATAAACCCCACGCCCTTCACCTCCCAATACTTGCTCAACTGTAAAAATAATTAAAATCGCCTTTTGAGATAAATACATCAAGAGTAAGAAGGATTAAATTGATTGTTGTTTGACATAGCTCAAGTATATATTTTAGATAATAGACATAGAGGATATTGAATGAGTGTAGGTTTAATACTAAATTTATTGAACGAGTTGAATGAAATCATATTATGCGAGCCTCTGGCGAGCATAATATTGTTTTATTCAACTCGTTCAATAAATTTAGTATTGAATCTACACAAATATAATATTCTATTTATCACATATATAAAATAAGAACGTTAAACTGTGAATAAGTCATTTTTATTTGATGCGCCTATAGTGTAACGCTAACATTAGCGGGCTATAACGCTATTTATCACATAAACCGCGGCGCAGGAGTGTAATAAAGCCATTTAATAAAATCGATATTACACTAGACGATATTACACTAGTGTAATAACACTTTGACGTCACGTCCTTTGCGCTATAAATATAGCGCTAAAGCGAGCTAATGTTAGCGTTACATTGTAGGCGCGTCAAAGAAAAATGACTCTTGATAACAGTTTACCGTTCTTATTTTATATATGTGATAAATAGAATATTATATTCGTGTAGATTCAATACTAAATTTATTGAACTCGTTGAATAAAACAATATTATGCTCGCCAGAGGCTCGCATAATATGATTTTATTCAACTCGTTCAATAAATTTAGTATTAAACCTACACTCATTCAATATCCTCTATGTTTATAATGCAAATGACGTCACGTCAAAGTGTTATTACACTAGTGTAATATCGTCTAGTGTAATATCGTTTTTATTAAATGGCTTTATTACACTCCTGAGCCGCGGTTTATGTGATAAAAACTTGTACATGATAAGGGCTGCCAATATCTAAGGGTACATCGAAGGAACTAATTTTTAATTGTAAAGGAACCAATTTCTTGCCATGACACAAATTTTTGTGTATCAAGATAAATAAATATTTCAGTGTAATTTTTTGGTTTCATGACAAGAAAAAGGTAATTCATGTACAAATCTGCAGTCTGCTGTGTAAAGCTCACCCTACTGCCATAACTGCTACTATAACCCTCTCAATATCAAGGCCAGACATCAACACATATACACCGCGATTCTCACAACCTAACACCTGACTAACTGCCATGTTAAAATTAAAACAAACAATAAATTAATTCTGGTAATTATAACAAACAAAAAGAGCTGTCGGTAGGACAGCAACGCTCGACTATTCTTAGTGCTTGATAGTAAAAAAAATGCTTGATAGAGTTACCTCCTCCTGTTTACAGGTTGGGGTCATGATGGTGAACAAGTGTGCAAAGTTTCAAAGCCATATGTCAATGGACTTTGAAAATATTTGAACTATTACAAAAACTTTAACATAAATTCTTAGTCGAAAAAGGGGCATAATTCTGTCAAAATGCTTGATAGAGTTACCTCCTCCTGTTTACAGGTTGGGGTCATGATGGTGAACAAGTGTGCAAAGTTTCAAAGCCATATGTCAATGGACTTTGAAAATATTTGAACTATTACAAAAACTTTAACGTAAATTCTAAGTCGAAAAAGGGGCATAATTCTGTCAAAATGCTTGATAGAGTTACCTCCTCCTATTTCCAGGTTGGGGTCATGATGGTGAACAAGTGTGTAAAGTTTCAAAGCCATATGTCAATGGACTTTGAAAATATTTGAACTATTACAAAAACTTTAACGTAAATTCTAAGTCGAAAAAGAGGCATAATTCTGTCAAAATGCTTGATAGAGTTACCTCCTCCTGTGTACAGGTTGGGGTCATGATGGTGAACAAGTGTGCAAAGTTTCAAAGCCATATGTCTATGGACTTTGAAAATATTTGAACTATTACAAAAACTTTAACATAAGTGGTTACGCCGACGCCGACGCTCGGGTGACTGCAATAGCTCTACTTATTCTTATCGAATAGTCGAGCTAAAAATTCTTCTTTTATCCTGCTACTGTCTATATCACATGTATCAGCTGGATAAAGCTTTGCCAGGTAAAACTATCTCTCTCCAGTCATTATACGTCACACGGTAAGCGGCAAAAAAATTCAGGTAGAAGCTTTTTTATCGGTAATAAATGTAAGACCAAAATCGTTTAAATAATAATAAACCAACATAATAAAAGTTGATAAAAGCAGGATAAATAGAATACATGGTTGATGATGGGATAGGAGAAAGTTTATCAGGTTTGTTGCATAAGTGAATCTTGGCTAGTAAAAACACGCTAAGATACATTTTCTTGCTCACTGGATAAACATTCTCCATCCCGACATCAACTTTCTATTCTCTATTTTCATAAGCCATACTGCCAATGTTTGGATCATTACACAAGTAGTCATGTGTCCTATATAAGCAACTGTCACTCCTTGCAACATTTCAGATACAAGAGGGTACCTGCGACTAAGGTTAGAACCACTGACCTTCTGTTAGCTTGCAAGATAACTTCCAAGCATAAAAAAGATAACAGCAGGGAGAGTCAAGTTTCTCATACTTGCCTGTGATCCCATAAACACTTAAACTCTTCTAAACATTGTATCTTAGAACTTCAATAGTAGAAGAAATGTTCATCATGTCTTGACAATTCTGTCAAAGCCATCTTCTCAAGGTTATAAATAGACACACGGCACTACATTTCCTTTATATAACCCCTGAGTATATACGGCCATCTTACCTGGAACTTTGCAGTCCTCAAATATCAACTCAGAAGTGTTTGAGCCCCGCATACCAAGTTTATCTAGCTTAATACCCGTACTGAATCCTGCCATATCCTATAATAAATCAGTCCAGTGACAAGGTTTATGTATCAGTATTACAAGTTTAGCAATACATGTCATGTTCATAATAATGTAGGACAATTTCATATCAACAGGTTAAAAGAAGAATGGAGTTCTTGAATATTTCTAGCTTCTTGAAAATTTGTTCGTTTTTATTTTTCCTTATTTCTTAAAACAGTACCGTTGCATAGGTAGAAGTTAACATTGTTGCCCCATCCTCCCCTTTGGAAGGTTTGAATTTAGAATTATAAAGTTCTAAAGAAAAAGAGAGATCTGAACAGCATTAAAAACATAAATTTCAGGAAAATACCGGTGGCTGAATAACTTTTACCAACGTAATTGTCTCTTTTCCAATATTCTCAATGTGTATTATGTTAATTTCATACTCTTTTATAAAGTTACACTTTGACTGTTTACAGTAACTTATTCAGCCACCATGACAGAGCCAGCCTAACCTCAAAGTCAGTAAAATGTGACCAGATATAAGCCTCTTGGCTGCCACGTATTGGTATGTTTAAAACATTAATAAACAGAGCTTGACTCATTCGAAGAACATGTAATTCCACTACATAAGTTATTTCTGTTCATTTTCTTTATTCAGTATAAAGCCATATACTGTATTAAACTGATGAACTCTTAGCAACATCCCGGCTTTACCATAGGAATGAAGACACAATGTATTTCAGACAATGGTGGGCATACTAGCAATATAGCTTCCCAACACAAAATAATTCAACAGGATTCAAACCTTAGCTGCGAGAAACAAGTATTTCATAGTTGTTAAACTGTACAAATAAGCCACTATAAAGGATACCAGAAAAGGCAAAACAAGCTTAGTTTGTGTAGAGACATAAATAAATAGCAACTGTCCTATTACGGAGTATCAAAATAAACACCACTGAAGACCACTTCAGATAAAGCATGCTGTATATCTATTATAACATATTTCAGCCAAGTTCCTACCTTTTCTATAAGAAATGCTGTTATACCATGCTGTGGTTTATCAGCATTAAAATCTGTTTTAGCATACACAACCAGAACATCGGCATCTGGACCATTTGTTATCCAAAATTTACTGCCATTTAATACATAATAATCTCCTGTAAAATAGTTAAATATTAAGATATAGTCAAAGCATCCATGTAGTTGTTTATTCTATTCAGTAAGATAACCTGTAACTCCTTCACTCTGACAGTCTGGCCTTCACTCTGACAAACCTTGATATCTCAAATGGACTGTCCCATCTCTCACTCAGCACAGAACGATTTATCATTTTTAGGAAAATTTCTAAATATACCTGTATACAGATTGAATAGCCAACAATGCTGACCATGATCTTATAGCACTTATGTTCTGACTGATTTTGGACTTCACTGTTTGTATGGGTAGAATCTGTTGCTGCAAGCATGGTTAAAGTAGTGTCCTTATATTGCACCAAAACACACAATCTTTTTGGTTTAGATTAAAAGATAACAACTTTAAAAGGAGAGAGTTGTTGTAGAATAACTAATAACTATCTACCTGTCATAATTTACCTTGTTTATCAGCACGTAGTTTCATGGAAACAACATCTGACCCTGCATTCGGCTCACTCATGGCCAAAGCTCCAACTTTATCACCTGATATCAGCTAATCATGTTTGGGAAATGAAAATAGAATCAATTCAATACATATGAGCAGCGTCACGACAGAACCAACATAGTGGGTTTGCGACCAGCATGGATCCAGACCAGCCTGCGCATCCGCACAGTCTGATCAGGATCCATGCTGTTCGCTGTCAGTTTATCCACATGTAATAGAGTTGGTAAGCAAACAGCATGGATCCTGATCAGACTGTGCTGATGCGCAGGCTGGTCTGGATCCATGCTGGTCGCAAACCCACTATGTTGGTTTTGTCGTGACGCGGCTCAATTATCATTTTCATAGTCTGAATTTGATTTCTGAGAAATTATGTGAGCAAATATGAATTTTTATTCTTAAAATAGTTTACTTAAGGGTTTTTTTTTTAAAAAGAAAGAAAAAAAAAGAAAATTAAAATAGAAAAGTTTCTTTAAAGCCATAAAAATGTCCCCAATGTTGAAACAAAATAACTGGCAAATTATTTTGAGATCAAGTCTGTATCCAGATGACAAACAAATTCATTAAACAGGACCAAGGCATTAAAACAATATATTAAAAGAAAGACAAAAGAAAAGATATATAAGAAGACTACATACATCAGGTAAGTATTTTAATCTTTGTTCTTCACTTCCATTCCTGACTATCTGGTTAAGACAAAGATTAGAATGGGCACCGTAACTGAGGGCAATACTGGCAGACGCACGTGACATTTCCTCCATGATTAAACAATGCTCAACATAACCCATTCCTGATCCGCCATATTGTTCTGAAGAAAAAAAACTACATTATTGTATCAACATAATTATGAATCTGTATTCCTGCTTTAAGTCACAACTTTCCACAGGCAAATTGGCAAGATGCCAGTGGATATTGCAAGTAGATTTTTTAGTAAATTCGCAAACTGTTGCAGTTACTTGGAAAAAAAAACTGACCATACCTCGCTACGCATTATTTCACTCATGAATGGCACATACATAGAGTTGCAAACCTTCCATAGACAAGCTGTAGGATTGCACACTCATTTTAGGATTAAAACTTACAACATAAGGTTATAATACAGTACCTGGAGCTGTAATTCCATGTAAACCCAGTTCACCACACTTCTTCCAAAAGTCCTGAAAATGTTATATTGTTTTCTTTAAATTCTAACAAATACTAAAAATAATGAAACATAGTTGCATTAAGGAGTAATGTCATATGACAGGTGAATATCAAATATTGCTTTTACTGTTAAGTAGTTACAATAAACTTCTTAAACTGCTTGCAGTAGACCTAGATAAGAACTGCAAATAATGATTTCTTTGTCCATTTTTTTAAATCAATAACCAATTTTTATAAATATTATAACTTTAAAAAGGGGGTCACTTCTTAAAATCTTGAATACCGGTAACCTCCCTTGTATTGCAACTGACACTGCCTTGTCATGATTATCAAGTATTGCAAGTTTCAAGATGATAGCTTTGATAATTTTGAAATCACCCTACTAATGGTAAGTAATCTGACAAAAACTTAAAAAGGGCCATTACTCCAAAAAAAGAATAATGCCCCTTGTCTTTCAACCAAGTTTTCCAAGATTCATGTTGATAAATATTCTAAATGCTACTTAATGTGAACTATAAATCTTACCTTCATATCAGGAAAAGAATTTAATTGATCAATTTCATCAGCTTTTGGTGCCAATTCCTTCTGTGTAAATTGGAAAACTGCTTCTCTTAACTGAAATATACAAGTACAAGAAGATGTTTCTCAGACACACATGCACCCAGAAGCACAAAGCCTGGCATCACAGACAATTAACAATGAGGCTTGCTGACATCATGAACACTGAAAATGTTGATAAAGTGTCAAGAGTTTTGGTACTGGTCATTAAATTCATTAACAGTCAACTCTATTTGTACAATGTAGAAAGTGAAAATATTCAAGCTGCAGAAAAGAGATAACCTACTCTGTATATTTAGAAAAGGGACAATACTTTATTTTTCACAAATTTGTGACTATTAAATTTTGCTAAGGTCAATAAATTCAATACTTGTCTGCTATTTGTAGAAGCTGACAACAACTCACAATGCCAAAAAGGATAGCCTAAATCAACTTACCGGTACTCATCAAATTCAAGTAAGGACTCGAGAAATTTGACAAATATTTAATTGACCATTTAATACTGCCATATTATGAAATTTAAAAATATACATGTTTAAACTTTTAGAATAAGGTTAATTGTACCTACTTAGGAAATGCATAAAATGAAGATACATTACTACAGTACGATAGAACATTGGTGCATCATGTATGTAAAATGTAAAAAGCCCATGGTTTTAAATTTGCAGATATTTGGGGGGAAAGTGGAAAATGAAATTAACATGGATAACTGGGGCAAAAAAGCCATTGGTTCATAGATAACTGAGCAAAATTAAAAACATCTGTTCAGGTAGAATTTTTAATTTTTTCTTCCATTTGATTTTATAAGCTAATTTTTGCCAATATTAGGTCATATTCAAAATTGACTAAAGTTGTTTTTTACCGAACTCAAAAATTTGCAATTGGAACAGTTGTGAAAAAGCAGTCATCATTGTAAAACAGGACCTTTTCCGGCTGTTTGGGAAGTTTGGCTCGTCACACACATTATGGAACTGAACATAGAAAACCACTTAGTTATGAGGCCTGATATGGGCACCGAAATTATAAATTATTTTGTAGTTCCCGTACATAAAAGGTAACCCATCATAATTATATGGTTTGTTATATCAGACCTATTTTTCAGTAATAAGTGTTACAGAGACCATTTTTCCAGAGTTAGGTAGATGTTATTCAGGATATAAAGCCATAAAATTATTTAATATAGTAATACAGGTCAAAATTCTGATAATGAAACAGGTTTATATAGCATTGTCTACTTATCTGTACACAGATAATCTTAGTGGAATACCCTTTAACAGGCCTCAATGCAAGTATTGTTGCACATGCGTTCAAGGATGGAATCCCCTAAAGTTAACAACGTCACACTTTGACAACGCATGGTGAAAGTGATTTGTTACAAAATATTTTTAAAGCGAATTTGAAGAGCTACTAGCTTGAAGGGCCTGCTAGCAAAGCAAGCTTTAAGTTAACATGAGTACCTACTAGATAGTGATGGTTTTGGAAACTTCCGTCCGAAGAACCGAATTGACACATCGCAACTATGCGAATTACAAGATCAGGGTTCCCGCTGTCGCTCGCCAATGGCGCCAAATGCGACAAAATATTAATTCTGGCGCATAAAATCTTTAATTTGCGAATTTAAGTGGCGCCAACGTAAGATAAAAGCATCCGACAACTAGTACACTTAAATGTCATAAGCGGCCGCGTCAATTACATAAGCGGCCCAAATGTGAAAGGTCACGCGCTATTAGTTTGTTTATCGGTACCGTATAATCAATTATGTCATCAATTGTGTGACACTTTGGGAACATGTGAAGATGAGAGTGGCAATTTGTTAATTGGAACAATTTACGACTTGGAGCACTGATAATTACATGTGTGGTCAACAGGTGTTAGTAGCGAACAGAGAAGTTAAAGATCGTCCGTGATGTTGTTTAGGTAAGTTGACTCAAATAATTACAGTTTGAATATTAAATCGGATGACAATTAAAAGAATAATTTCACTAATGATTGATCTAAAGCCACTGTTACTGCAATGTTAATATTTTCATATCTGATTGTAAAGGGCTGAAGTGTCTATTCATATGCAAACCCTATTAAAATAAACAATATTTTTCATTGTTAAAAATACTTAGTATCTATTTCATATTTTGTTCTCATTGATTTTAAGATGAAGTCAATTTATAGTAATGTTGTTTTTTTATTTTTATTATTTTGTATCTGTAGATCACCAGATTGTCGGGTAGAAGCTGGGAAAGATCTTGGCTCAGTCCAGCCTGTGAGAAGAACTGCTATACTGGCAAAACGGTGGAAAACAGGATGACTAACTTAACATGATGTTCTTGATTACATTTATGCTGTCATGTGTATTTATTTAAATAGAATTTGAAAACCACATAATAGTATGTCTATATTTTAGAAAATAAACATGTGCAGCTGTAATAAAATGAAATATTATAAATATATGTGTTTGTAATCATAATGATATATAACTGCTAGCATATCTTAGCAAATATAGGCATGTCTCCCTTGCAGAATTATTGGCTCCAACTTTGGAGCCATTGGCTCCAACTTTTTCTGATTGGCGAATTTGGTGGCGCAAACTATTTTTGACCCAGAGGGAACCCTGAAGATATCGATAAAAGCTGAGAAATTCTGATTGAAAACAGAAGCGTAGACTGGTGTCCTGCGCACTTTTATAGGAACCATAATAGGACAGGGAACCAGAATAACAGAAGCAGTGTATAAAATAGGGAATGACAATTTTAAAACGGAAAATGTGAAATAGAAATGAATAAATATTTAATACTTTTTCACAGTAAAAGTAAATCAAGTCGCTTGGAGGCTTTGCCTTTTTCAGACTTAAATTTTGTCTTGTTTATGCTTCTGCTTGATTTGATATCAATTTTTGAAGAATGCAAATAAAAATCAAGCGTTTAAACGAAAAATACCGGCACTGATTCTGTACTGGAACTGCTCGCATGCCAGTAGGAGTTATATAATTCAAATTTCAAGTCCCATCTATTTAGCTGTTCAATTGTTGTTTTAAGTGTTTGTTTTTTCAGCAAATGACTTAGATCAATTTAATTCATTCCAATAATAGCGAGCTCGATGCGCTGGCCCAAAGGGCCTGCTCGCAAAGCAAGCTTTACGGTAACGTGAGTACCTGTTAAGTGATGGTTTTGAAAACTTTCGTCCAAAGTACCAAATTGGACACATCGCAACTTTTCAAATTACAAGATAACGGTAAAAGCCAATGTACTTGGATTGAAAACAGAAGCGTAGACTGGTGTCCTGCGCATTTATATAGGAACCATAATAGGAAGGGCCCGAAGGGGGAACCAGAATAAACGGAAGCAGTGTATAAATACCAAATGACATTTTTAAAACGGAAAATGTAAAGTAAAAATGAAGGATTATTTTAAGCAATCTTACTGTAAAAGAAACGATTGCCTTTTTCATACGGGGAAGTCAAAGACCGGGCCCGCGAAGCAGGTCCGGGCTTTGGCTTGCCCGGCTATAGACTACATGTGAATATTTAAAATAAAATCAAATAAAAAGCAATTAAAAAATATATAGAATTCTATATGAAATTTTGAGTGTCAGTTCTAGTCGGGCGCCGCCATTTACAATGTAACTCAATGATAATAGGCAGCGCATTCCAATAACGGAACAAATCTCAACTTTTCGGATAAATGATAATCGTCGAGTGTTCCGAGTGAAAACGAAAGCGGTGCATGTAATACCGAATGACACCTTTAAAACGGAGAGAATGAAAGGAATTATTAACGACTTCCCCGTTCATAGGCTTTGCCTAATTTCATATTATTAACTGTTATACTAGAGTGGTTTAAAAAAAATGTAAGGTATATTTTCAAAAAAAGATATTGCATTGCAACTATTTCACGAGTCACGACCCCTGGCCCGAGTTTGACCTCTTTCACACTTATAAAACAAAATCAAAGTAAGTGTCATGCCACATTTACCTGTTTTTGTTCATCTGTAAGCCCAAACATATTATCATCGATAGGGAAATATGATGACAACCTTGTCTGATTCTGTATGCATGGTTTATTTCTTAAAATCGGTTTTGTCAACAAAACCCGAGAAAGTTTGCGGAGAGCAGCCATTTTGCTTACAACATTGAAAAAAGTTCAGGGAAATAAATGAAACCGAGGTCAGGCAATAAAGGCAAGAAGGAGAAGGTTGTTTACGGTTCTATTACCATTCAATTTCATATTTAAATGTGAATTAATTTATTTCTTATTGCAAGATGTTGACAAATTCTTTTTCATAACTTAAGCGGTCAAAATTATTCCCGCAAAATGTCAAAAGTTGAACACCACTAAATGGTCATGAATTCTTTTGTGGATTATAAATGTTAAAGAAAATATAGTTAAAATTGTATGCCTTAACATTTTGTAAATTTGTAAAACAAACTAAGGAATTAATACATCTATAATCTACAGCAATTCTTATAAAGAAGATATAAATTCATGGTATTCTTTAAAGATACGTAATATAGGCCCAACATATATGCCGTGTACGTACATGTACACATTTTTTGTTTTTGTTTCTCCCTGTGTTTGTTTGTTTATTTATTTTCTCCTTAAATTATAAGTTAAAATACATACATAGTAAACTTTGATAAATGTCTTGTTACTATCAGGCCAAAAGAGAAACTCAAAAGAAAGAACGACACGAATATTGGCGATACTTAGAAGACGTAATTGATGCCAATGATCCAGCTTCAGAACAACCATCAAAACAAAAAAAGTTCTGGAATTACATCAAATCGTTGAGAAGGGACAACTCCGGGGTTTCACCACTGAAAGACAAGGGCAAGTTACACGCAGAATCAATCGACAAAGCTAACATCCTAAACAACCAATACCAATCCGTTTTCACTAGGGAGGACAGATCCAGCATCCCAAATCCAGAGGGCGAACCACCCCCCACCATGCCTGATATAGAGATAACCAACAAGGGAGTGCTTACACTACTCAGGAAGCTCAACCCAAAGAAGGCAGCAGGCCCAGACATGATCTCTGCGCGCATCCTGAAGGAGATGGCTGAACAGTGTTTTAGTCATACCTGGTCGTCATCTACAAAAAGTGCCTTTCATCTGGTAGCATACATGTACATGAAGTGTGGATAACAGCCAACGTGACAGCCATATTTAAGAAAGGGGAACGCTTCAAATCCAGCAACTATAGACCGGTATCCCTCACCTGCATAGCCTGCAAGATGCTGAAGCACATCATCGTCAGCAACATAATGAATCATTTGGACAGCCACAAGATACTAACCGACAGCCAGCATGGATTTAGAAGAAGACGGAGCTGCGAAACCCAGCTACAAACGCTGACAGATGAGCTTACCAAGCCCATGGACCGGCGTAAACAACATGAGGACTTCAGCAAAGCGTTCGACCGCGTCCCACACATCCGCTTGCTAGCCAAGCTTCATCATTATGGCATCAGAAACCATACCCTGAAGTGGATTGAGGCATTTCTCACAGGCCACACTCAGCGCGTAGTTGTTGATGGAGCAACGTCCGACCCAGCACCCATTATCAGCGGAGTCCCCCAGGGAAGCGTGCTCGGACCCATACTCTTCCTGGTCTTCATCAACGACCTGCCACTTCATGTCACGTCCAAGGTCAGGCTCTTTGCTGACGACTGTGTGGTATACCTGGAACTCGCCATTGAAGAGGACTGCCACATTTTACAGGATGACCTGAAGAAGCTGGCATTATGGGAGAAACGCTGGGGCATGAGTTTCCACCCAGAGAAGTGCATCATAATCAGGGTCCACAGGAAGAGGAACCCCATCATATACCCGTACTCCTTGAAGGGCCACACATTCGAGATAGACTCGACAACCATGTACCTCGGGGTCCATATGTCTGGAAACCTCTCCTGGAACCAATATGTTGACAAGATTGTGAAGAAGGGCAACAGTACACTCGGCTTCCTTCGACGCAACCTGCGCATCAGCAACGAACAGGTCAAGAGCACAGCCTACATGTCACTCGTGCGACCAGGCCTTGAATATTGCTCCACCGTCTGGAACTCTTATACCAAGGACCTTACACGCAAGCTCGAGATGGTCCAGAGGAGAGCTGCAAGATATGTGACGAACCGTTACCACAACACCAGCAGCGTATCCTCCATGATCCAACACTTGGGATGGGAGACATTAGAGTCACGGCGTACCAAAGCCCAGCTGACCATGATGTTCAAGATCACCAATGACCTTGTGGACATACCAGTCAGCGATTATCTCACCCCTGCCAAGAAGTTCCATCTACCATCCACATCTACATCGTACTACAAGAACTCCTTCTTCCCTCGTGCAGACACAACCTGGAACAGCCTACCTGCCTCCGTTGCAGAGAGCCCTGACTTGGTATCCTTCAAGAAGGGGCTATCATCCCTCACATTCTAATCCACCATTAGGGGCCCAGCTACAAGTACCCACTAGTGATATCCAAGGCTGTGCCGGCCGCGGCCATCGTAACCGGAGAGGTTTGGGTTGAAGAGGCGAAATGTAGCTGGCCAGACTTTTTGTCTATATCTCTTTCTTTTGACCTATCCAACCTCTTCTAACTTTCTGTCATTTCTTGTATATTTCTTTTTCTTGACCTAGCACCACCCGTCGCGTTATAATCAAGAATGATTGCGCCGACGTACGATGTAGATGTAGACTATCAAACTGTATCTTATTACTAGGAGAGAGATTTACAAGTCTATGACTTCTTTCTCAATCCTGTTTCTATATATGTCTGCGTTTAATATTTATTTAACTTATTGGAAACATGTGAGAGATTTCTATATGTACATGAAGTTGATTAATATCATGATAAGTTCTTCATTGTTCTTAAATAATGTACATAATTTAAGAAAACTATGATTTAAGGGAAATCCCTTCTTTCCTTTCCTAGAATGTCTCAACTGTCAGTTGGGCTGCAGTATCTCGTTTATATAGATCTCCTAGCAAAAGTTGCGTTAAAAACGTTATCATTATTTGAAATATAACTTTTTTCCCCATGCATTCAGTCTATTTTTTAGTAAATTATCGAACTAAACATTATGAAGAGGCACATGAACTTCTTATAGTTTATACACTGTATAGAGGTATTGATTTAATTGCAATAGTGGATGAAAAATGCACAATACTGTCAGCAATAAACAAGATTAAATTCACCAAGACTGATATTATCAGTGATAATACTGAAATTTTAATCTTTGTCCATAACAAATCATATATAATATGCCCGATATATTAAACAGGTGAGTGTCATGTCATTCACATAACACGAAAGTCAAACTAGCGTTTATCTTCCAATTATTTTATCTATTAAATAGGAAAAGAAGCGATGGATATAACATCTGAGACCTCTCTATTTTCAGCGTTCATGGTGGCCATCGGGTTATTAGTCTACCTCATAGCTCTAGACGTGTACATACATATATTAGCAATCATTGCTTTATATGTGATTTATAAATTTATTTCTAAACGGTACGTAAAGAAGCTAGATATCACAGAGAAAGGACTGTTCATCACCGGATGTGATACAGGTATGTCGGCATGTTAAGATTTACTTTAAGGTTGTCTCGAGTGTCCCTTGTATCTAAATGATATACAATGTATACCATCAGTAAGTAATCACTCTTTACCATGAGTATGACCAAATATGTCTCTGTATACTGATGATTTTTATGGCCGCACCTTTATGTTGTGAGATTTGTCTTATAAATATATGCAATATAATTGTTTAAATCGTCACATAGATTTCCAAATGTTTCTTTCAGATATCTACAATGTATACGACATGGCATACATTAACTTTTTTGTCCGACGTAAACTTTAAATCTAAAACCATATTATGTATTTTTTGTGAAGATTAAAAAGCAAAATGGATATGTATCTCTCTCTCTATATATATTTTTTGAAACTCATCAAAATCAACAATGGAATTGCGGTAATTTTTAGTTAGCAGAAAAAGGTAATCGGCGTAAAGTTAGCAAGAGAGTAGGTGTAACTTTGAATGTTAAACCTTGAAAATGACCCATGAGGATCAATATTTAACAGATTATTGATCAATTTCAACGTCAAAAAAATGACCCCTCTTGTTATTTAATGCCCTATCGACACGTTAAAAATTGAAAATTGAAAACTTATCAACGATAGGCAGGTTATTTATCAACGCAATTTGCATTTGCAAACAGATAAAACCTGTAATAATCTAATAATCAAGCTGAATTTCAAAGAAAAGGAATGTTATATAAATCAAGAATATTATCTAAATCAAGTGTATATCTATTGATACAGGAATTGGTCATGCGGCGGCGTTAAGATTGCGGAAAGCCGGTTTTTTAGTGTTTGCCGGATGTTTGAAGCCCGATAGTGATGGAGCAAAAGTCCTCAAAGAGAAAGGTGGGGGAAGAATTCGGGTCATACCATTAGATGTAACAAACGATGAAAGCATTAAACAAGCGTTAGAAACAACACGACAGGGATTACCAGAATCAGGTTATATAACTCTTCTAGAAATATCTTCTATACTCAAATGCTTAAACACAAATTTTCATCTCTCGTAGAGCTATCAATCCCATAACAAGATTTCAAAAAATACTTCAGACGCAAGTTTTATATTAATTTTCAGTTTCGTTGCGGCTAAAATATCCATCTCCTAATAAATTTTCAGGTCTATGGGGAGTTATCAATAATGCTGGAATAGAGCTTGCAGCAGAAATAGAATTTGCAAGCATTGATATGATGAAACGTGTAGCAGACGTCAATTTCTATGGCATGGTGCGTGTTACTAAAGCGTTTCTACCTCTGATCAGGAAAGCAAGAGGTTGGTTTAATTCTACAACATACTTTAAAAAATAATCCCTCAATTCTTAGATATTTCCATGATGATATTACTAACATTTCTTATTAGTTTAAACATATTTTATTGCATTAAATACATGTTTACAAACATATCGTACAAATAATAGAGTATATATCAAAATGCAAATGGGTTGGGCAAGTTCTTACAACAGTAGATTAAGCCCTTCCCAGAACATTTCTTATTAATCTTTTCTAGAAGAAAGTAAAACACGACAGGAAAAAGTTACATGTTAAGAAAGTCACTCTTATGATATTTGTTCGACTTCGATTTGTCAGTTAAATGTATATATACAACTTGGCTATTTGCTCATAATAATTGAAACGCCCCACCACCACCCATTTTCTCCATGTTTCCACAATATGAATATGGTTTGATTGTTTGTTGAATGTATGTTGCTGACTACGGATTTTAATTGATTTTGATACAAGATCGGTTGGAATAACGACAGGGTATTACCACAATTTAAACATCATTCATTCAAATTGTACATGTAATGTATGTAAAACTAATCGGAAATTTAAAAAAAGAAAATCATTGGTTTGTTAATGATGTCTTGTAGGTAGGGTGGTCAATGTAACAAGTGTAAAAGGAAGACTTCCATGGCCTGCAGACACGGCCTATGTGTCATCTAAGTATGCCGCTGAAGCCTTCTCAGACATTCTGCGAAGAGAAATGTACAGGTTTGGAGTAAAAGTCGTAATTATAGAACCTGGTCGATTCAGCAATATTACAGGAATTCTTCAAGGTGACAGAGTAGGTTTTAAAAAATTCCGTTAATATCATTCTTAAAGGAATCAAATATAATTAATTGTTTTGGTATCTGCTAAGATCACTGTTCGTTTCCTTGTTTGTTTGGTTGGGTTTTAAGTGGCACCAATTCTGTACGGTCATATCACTGAAATACCATCAAATATTTTTTAAACGTACCTTGTACATGCTTATAAAAACACTGTGCACTGGATCTTGATTGTGCAAGAATGCTGGCATTTGTTTTTAATAGTAGGATTTTACTTGGTATTAGTTCAGAGGTAAAATATTTTTCGTCTTCATTCAAAATACAGATAGTTTCGCAAGCGAGACTTAACCGACTTCGTAAAGATGTATTTAAAACATGAAAATCTATATGCTCAACTAGTAATAGTTATTATAAAATTATGAAAATTAAAGCATATTACTTAGGACTTTGGTATCCGTTTTCAGCTCAATGTAGCAGTCGATGAACTTAATCAAAGTTGGGAACGGGCATCAGAAGAGGTTAAAGAGGCATATGGTAGACGATGTATTGATGATCTTATTACAGCTCTTCGAGAGGATGGAAAATTTGGACCAACAAGTTTAGACCCTGTGACAGATGCTATGCTCGATGCATTGGTCAATGTAAATCCAAAATGCCGGTATCTTGTACATGGTACTCATCAACCCATCGACAAATTTTGCGTAAGCATTCATGCATTACATTACAACAATGTTGATCTCTCAACAAAATGTTTTCAACAAAGTTTTCGCTCAACTTATCGATCGTAAAGAACATTTTTATGCATGTAATAAGCTTTTATCAAAATTACACGTCAATAAAGTGTTAAACAAGTTCAGATGATTAAATTTAAAGGTCCGTTTTTCGTTATATTACAGGTATTGGCATTACTGAATCAGTATCTTCCAGAACCGTTGTTTGATCATTTTAGCCGTTGGATTTTGCCTTTACCACCAGTCAACCAGCAAGTCTTAAAACCTGGTAGTTAAGCAACACGCCTAAAGATTCATGCTTGTTTTTCATGAAAATTTTAAAAATGAGTTTAAAAGTAAAATTTTGTGATGTGAACAAAGAAAGTATTTTACACATTGCTATCGCACTGACAATCCACGCAATTTACCAAATAAAAAAAGAGAAGAAAAATCGAAATATGCAAAAACAGCTCTTACTGTGTTAGTCACGCAGTAGAAATATGGTGATAAAATATGGTGACAAAATAAGTCTTTAATCACACATAAAAGGTAAATTATTACTTGAATCACGAATCTTTGGATACCTTTCCTAAAATCTTAATATTTTTTTCTCAAGTTTAATTTTCTTGAAATATATATGCTCATCCGGATTCATGCAGTTTTTAATTTGACTTGTATCGAAGGAAAGATTTTGGACATTCGCAAACATTATGACTTGTGACGTAAAAATATTCATTTATACAGTACGTGTTGAAAGTGTTGTTGTCTTAGCTTTAGATAAAAAGACGTTCATGTTTTGAAAAATTTAAAAGCCAGGGCGGATATAATACAAGGAATGGCTTTCAGCGTAGAACCAGGCCAGCCTGCACATTCGGGTCATCAGACCAGACGTTATACTGTTGAGTTCTCAGCTTCAGAATAATAAAATTACTGCTATATGCCAGATTCAATGCCAAACAAGTTCATTAACATATACATTTGGGTAAAGGTTAAAAGATAATCTTGTACAAGTAATACAAACTTAAAGGTAAAAAGGTCATTTTGATAACCTGTTATTATTATCTTAAGGTCAACAACCTTGATAGACAAGGTAGTAAACACTGCTCTAGTTCCTTCCATGCTGCTTTAGTTTGACACTTTGAAATTCTAAAAGACTACTTAATTTCCTTTGTCCATAGCAACCATACTTTTGATGTACATGTACATCATTTTTAGAAAACAAAACAAAATATATACGACGGGTACTTTTTGTCCGGGACGGTATAGCGCTTATATTATATCATATAAAGTATAGACAAAGATATATATGGGTAAACTTGAAAAATGTTGGCTGAAAAAATGTTATCTGCGTGGTCTTGGACGGAATCTTGCACTTTCCAGTACCGTCCATTGAACAGGCTAAATCAAAATGAATCTGAAGCATTTTCAATTTTGCCATTTTGAACGTTTTGAAATCATTTTCTTTCGCTAATTTAAGTTATGCAACGATAACGTAGAAGTAAATCTTCTACAGATGAAGCAACAGCTACATGCATGAAAAATTACTGGTGAACTGATTTGTAAATAAATTGTACATCAAATGTCTTAATGCTTAGAGAAAACAGATAGTGATCAAAGACCAAGCTCGTGTTTACAATGGTAATATTTCTGCTGCATGTTGTAGCTTTAAATGTTATGTGTAGTGACAGTACTTTTCTTAATTAAAATCAAAAATTCACTTACTTAACCTAAATGTTTATTTAACACAACATGAATGTCAAGGTTAAATTCATCACACATGGTAAAATTATATAGAGCAAAAAGGTATGCATGCAAAACGTTTGTAAAATATCTCAAATGTAAAAAATGGATGTATTAGCTTCAGAGACTTTACTTTTTTCATCTTTTATGCTTGTTATCGGATTATTAATTTACTACATAGTTCAACAAGTGTACTTTTATATGTTAGCAATAATCCTTTTATGCGTGGTTTATAAACTTGTTTCTAAACGATTTGCTAAGAAGATAGATGATGTCAACGGGAAAGGAATTTTGATCACCGGATGTGATACAGGTAAGAATATACACGTAAATTCTACAAAGATTCATTCAAAACATGTAATTAAGTTGTCTCTAGTCCTTTGCTGTCAAATAATATTAACTAAATGCATTTTGTAGATATTGAGTCTATATCAACAATAAATTTTTCATCAAACAAACATCATTTTCTGTGTTATTTCAGCAGAAGTACGATCGAAAAAATGTTTTTGTACCGTACATTTATTCTTTTCTAATTAGCTATACATTTATGTTAAAACAATTGCCCTGTCGTCAAAATCCTTTCAAAGATTTCCAAACTGCGATGAGTATTTTTACGTAACAAACTTTTCTAATGAAAGTACGAAAAACATTTTAAAAGGACCTGTCGGGAACTAAAAAAAGAAAGAAATATGCTATATGAGTGTTGTGAAACAAGAATTTTTTTATCTGTCATTTCAAACCAATGTAATAGTAACTTATGTAATAATGCGGTCTTTTTATTGTTGAATACGAAATGAAGTTCAATGTATTTATTTTTTTTTTACTTTTATACATATTATAGAAATTACGTTTATATTGGTTGATTTAGGAATTGGGTATGCAACGGCGTTAAGGTTGTGTAAAGCCGGATTTTACGTGTTTGCCGGATGTTTGAACCCCGATTGTGATGGAGCAAAAACTCTAAAGGAAAAAGGCGGGGAAAGACTTCAAGTCGTGTCAATAGATGTAACAGATGATGAAAGCATTAAACAGGCGTTAGAGACAACACGGCAGGGATTGCCAGGATTGGGTAATGTGTCTTATCTAATCATTTAAAATAACAAAAAGTGCAATATTATACGCATATTACATGTATATACTGTTTTTCACATCCAATGTAGGTCTATATAAGTTCTCATGATAAAAAATTCTAATATTGCTCGCTCTTTTGTTTTCTCGATATTTTGAATCTTCGGAGAATTTTTTCTGATGACATCCTTCAACAGTTAAACAAGCCTTGCTTAGTCAGAGAGATGGAGTAAAAAGATAAGCGGATAATCGATATTAAAAGTAAAACAGAAATGGATTAAAACCAAGGATTGGTTGAAAAGTCTTATAATTTGTTTCACCTTTGTTCGAAACAACGATGTATATTTTTGCTTCTGAAATTCGTAATATTGTACACTCTGTATATTATTAATTTAAGGTCTTTGGGCAGTAATCAATAATGCCGGAATAGAGCTTGCAGCAGAAATAGAATTCGCAAGCATTGAGATGATGAAACATGTAGCAGACGTGAACTTCTATGGCATGGTGCGTGTTACTAAAGCGTTTCTACCTCTGATCAGGAAAACAAGAGGTTGGTTTTATTTTCTAGCATTTTAATGGAAGTTATTTATGACCTTTGCCCACAAGACGAAGTTTAATTCGAAATTTGTTAGATGTTTAACCATTTTGTGCTTTTCAAGAATAGAACTCATAACAATTCCGATATCAGATATGTGGCACAAACAATTCTAAAGCAATCTTTTTAAAGTATGTTAAGAACTGCACATACTGCACATATATGATTATAGTAACCACTATTATAAAGACTGATTGTCATCCGAAATTCATCCATAAATTATAGAAACGATAATTTTAAAATCGAGGTATTGCACATTTGATAACCACTAGTGATATGAAGGTTCAATTAGTTAATGTTTGCTCCTTATTACCTTAACTAACTTTAGTATTGTATTTTCTGGTCCATCAGGAGCATGAACTTCAACACTATAAGTGTTAAAAATTGAGTACCACTCAGGACGCTGCTAGTGGGCTTGAAGAATGTTGGACATTTTCCCGAGGCATCACGCTTTTCCCAGATTTTTAACTATCGTAGATACTGTTTTTTGATAGGTTATTTCTAACTTGTTTTTGTATATTTTGATGAAGCAATAAAGATAGTGTTGGAATTCCTACAGCACAAGATATAAATTATACCATGAATACATCATCTATGTTATAACTTCAGCAGAGTTCTACAGATAATTGGTTTGTTATATGTTCAAGGTAGGGTGGTAAATGTAACAAGTGCTAAGGGAAGGCTCCCATGGCCCGCAGATACGGCCTATGTTTCCTCTAAGTATGCCGGTGAAGCCTTCTCAGACATTCTACGCAGGGAAATGTACAGATTCGGAGTAAAAGTCGCTATTATAGAGCCTGGTAAATTCAGCAATATCACAGGAATTCTTCAGGGTGAAAGAGTATGTTTCTTTAATATTGCATTTATCATTTAATTTTAAATCTAGTATGCAAGGGTATTATTAAAACACTACATATAATATTTGTATTTATTTCAATGGATTACATTGCATAATTATGTTATTTGTAAGATCTAAGGAAAATCTAAATGTATGATTTATGTATTATTTATATTACAATGTAAATATATAAGATCGCACTATCATCTAGTACTTTCAAAACGATAACAGCTTTGATACTTAGAATCGACAGACTCCCTTATTTAGTCTTTAGAAAAGGTAAAATTCCACTTGCTTTAATGTCTAAGTTTATTGCCACTAAAGTGTATATAATCTAAATTATGTTATTTTTTTTCTTGACTATTGTATTTAGTTATGTCTAGCAGTCGATGCACTTAATCAAAGTTGGGAACTGGCATCAGAAGAGATAAAAGAAGCATATGGTAGACGATGTATTGATGATCTTATTACGGCTTTTCGAGACGATTATAAACTTGGACCAGAAAGTTTAGATCCTGTGACAGATGCTATGCTTGATGCAGTGGCTAATGTAAATCCAAAATGCCGGTATTTGGTGCATGGTACCCACCATTCTTTCGACAAGTATTGTGTAAGTATTTAAAACATATCTTAACAATAATAGATTGTTCTTTTAGGTAATTTCATTGATGAAATATACTAGTATACAATGTATTTGTTTAAATAACTGGAAATTGTTCGAACTTAAATAAAACAATTGTGAAACGTAAAATTAACTATTATACACACATTACGTCAGCTGTTTAATATGTTTTGATATTGAAGAAATTATTAACTTGATTTTGCTTTTCTTTTTATTTACAGATATTGGCATTACTGAATCAGTATTTACCGGAACCATTATTTGATCATTTTAGTCGCTGGATTTTGCCCTTACCGCCCGTTAACCAGCAAGTGTAGTCAAATTTCTAGGAAACTAATTATTTGTTTAAAGTACAAAGAGTTAAAATGTTAACAGCAATAAATGTATATTAACACTGCTATGCTTGTGATCAAATCGTCCACTGTCCTTTTTGTTTGTGTTTTGCATACGTAAGCACCATTTTCCAATAGAATTAGTAAAAATGATTTCATTAAATTATAGACTGTAATACATGCAATAAATAAAATATGATAAACAAGATCAACAAGGAAAGGTGGCGTTCAATGAACGCAACCCCCATACGACCCAGCAACAAGAACCAGCGGCAAGGAGCCGAATAAGACGACGAATGCCATTATTTTTTTCTTTCCTTATGTACATTATTTAATAATGAAATGAACGCACGCGACACCGTTTTATTACAGAAAAGGCATCTGAACTTCTGTATACTTATAACGAACGAGGACGTCTTAAATTAGGTTAATTTGTATAGTAAGTCAAATCTAAATCATCCAATGTGAGATTGTTTTCAGAGGTTTCTGAGTGTTTTCCGTTTTTAGAGTTAATGCCACACGTTCATTCTATTTCACACTTTAAATTGATATTGGGTTATTTATTTAATGGGAAAGGCCAAAAGGCGATACATGGCGTTAATAGTCTTAAACTTATATATAGAAGTTGTGTTTCATTATGTTTTGTTTACTGAACTCAAAAGAATTTCTTTTTCTTCTTCGCTTTTGTTAAAAAACGACCCACCATGTATTGTCAATTATTTAGGATAGTCATGTCGTCACTAATATAATTTCGGTTGATATTAATATCTGTGTGCATCCTTAAATCAAATTTGCCATTGGACATTTAGAAATATAACTTGCCTATCGTTTTAATGCCCCGGTCACATATTCACGGATAATGCCACGGAAGAGCTACGGTCTAATCGTTCACGGATTACTACGGAAATGTGAAATTCCGTAATCCGCTACGGTTCCAGTACGGACACACAACGGTATGAGTACGGCGTCCGACGGATTTACCACCACAAGACCCCGGAGAGACGAGGATTGTTACGGACTGACACGGTTTTGATACGGAGCAACACGAATCGGGACGGACGCACCACGGATACACTACGGTTCGCTACGGTATAAGCACGGGTTTAGTACGACTAAGTACGGTCTGATACGGAGAAGAACGAATTGATACGGAGAAGAACTAATTTCCCACGGATCTATACGGACCTAATTCATCCGTCCTCAACATGTTTGTTTTGCTCATTTTCAAAAATGCCTCACAAGAAAAGAACACCTAGACAACGAATTGCAGAGTTCAATGATTTTGGCGGAGAGGATTCGACCTAATCGCGTCCGACCCCCGAGACACATCAGGTCCGATAAAAGTGAATTTCTTGAAGGACTCCTCAACAAGTTCGGCCATGAGAGCCTCATACTAAACATTTAAGCGGTGTTCGTAAAAAGCCCATCTCTAGTCCACCATCTCGTCTGTCTTCTCTTACCTGATTTATGGACTAGTATCATTAATGAAAAATGTTGAGCAATAATGCTTCTCTTTTAATTTTTTAGATTTTTTGTCATGTTTACTTACATTAATTATCGTTGTTTATGTTTTTTAAAAATATGTAAAAAGCTTGTTAATATATATTATTATCACTCAAGGTCCAGCGTCCGAGGCTTATTAAACACTTCGTTTTATGTACATATTTACTCCAATTTCACGATCCAATGTTTGTAAAATATGTCACATTAAATGTTTTCTATTACTAATGAATTGTAGTACGATATTAATATAAATTTACTTCTATGCATGTCATCAAACAGCTCGACCACTGCCTCTGCATTCTGAGCCATTTCAATATTTAAAGTTGCAGCCAGTAAATGGCAATAATCCTTTATTGAATGTTCCCGCAAATATGTCTGATTTTAAGAAGAAGGTAGTATTCATACCCTTGAAAAAGCACATGATACTTAATTCATCCGTACTAAACAGTGGTTGACCGTACCATTCCGTACCGTTTCGTGTTGCAACGCAATAAACCGTATAAGACCGTGCTAATCCTTGCCTCTCCGTAGTACAACGTATTACGATCGTGGCTTTCCGTGACAATGCCGTATTAATCCGTAGTAAAACCGTAGCTTATACGTAGGGTAACCGTACAAATACGTAGTTCTCCGTACCAAACCGTGGAAATCCTTGACAAGTTTTTGGACTACGAATCAGTACGGACTAGTACGGTTTTCGTACGGACCAGTACGTATCAGTACGGTTTAATACGGACTAGCAGGGATACGCTACGGTTGATTTTTCCGTAGCAAATTTTTGTGCATGTTCAAAAATTGTCCAGGATCGCTACGGATATACAAGGACTACTACGATTGATTACGGTTACAATACGGAAAGCTACTGACCAGTACGGGTAGCTACGGACGATGCCGGAATTAATCCGTGGCTCTTCCGTGGGCGTATTCCGTGAATATGTGACCGGGGTATAAGATTGACTAACTATATGCCAAAAATAGTTTTTCACGTCCCTTCATTTATTATGTGTTATATATAGCATTGATATGACATACGAACGTTTTCGAATCTATTTGAACGACTTGTGCCACATTTGGACACTTTGATTGATACAGTGTTTCATTCATTCTCAAATGGATGATGAAAATGGAGTAAGAAGGTGTATCAAAATTAATAACACTTGGCATACTTGTACAATAACGTCTCTCTATTCGTATAATCAAGAATTGCTTTAGAAAGAAAACCACATGTTCTGAATTAGAATCAACTATGTACGGAATTAAAATCATAAGTGGAAATTAGGAAAACTTGACATTTTTGCTCGGACGATATCATCAGAATACTTTTTTGTCCTGCACATAAATTTATGAATATATTTTACAGATACTAGTAATAAGAAACTTAAAATTCTATTATACAAACGCTACAAATTTAAATAAATTATTTGGAAGGAGTAAAATTAATTTAAACTGGTAATATAGCCTCGATCCTATTGTTTTTAATTATATATGTTCGTAAAATCAGAAATGGAAGCAGAGTTCATCCCTTAAGAGCAATAAAAACAGAAATAGATAGCTGAAAATCGGATGATTACGCGCTTTAACTGAGACTGTTCAAGGGAGATAATGGAAAGTCAAATATGTCTCACCTCAACGTTAAATGTATTGGAATCGTCAATATTAACTAGGCCTACGGAAGAGCATTAGTGCAAGGTGTATGTTTTTTATTAACTCGAAATTTCGAGTTACTAACTCGAAATTTCGACTTACTTATCTCGAAATTTCGAGTTACTAACTCGAAATTTCGCATTATAAACTCGAAATTTCGAGTTACTTATCTCGAATTTTCGAGTATTTAATTCGAAATTTCGACTTACTAACTCGAAATTTCGAGTTACTTATCTCAAAATGTCGAGTTACTAACTCGAAATTTCGACTAACTAACTCGAAATTTCGACTTACATTGCACGACTTTCATTGGTTGCCGGTGAAAGCAAGGATTGAATTCAAGATACTTTCTTTCGTGTGAAGCTGTTGCACATTGACAGAGCACCTTTAACATTTATTTAACAGAACAATTTTATAGGGTCAAATTGTCCACACATACTGAACATATCCTTCGCTTTTTTGTGGAGGGGGGATGTAAAATCACACTTTCCACATTTCCGTGTTAACCGGGTGTTTCTTTTTCTTAAGCACACATACAACCATCATGTGGAGAAACAACAAGTCCAAAACCCACCCTATTGTAAACTGTGAAATATCATGTGTTAAATAAGTTTTAAATGGCGTGTATACGCCAGTTAGTCTGTCACGTTTCTTTATACTAATAATGTTTTTGTAACATTTATTTATTCATTATTTACTAATACTTTGATTCATATTGTGTTGATAAAAGTTGATTAAAGTGATACTTGTTGTTATATATATGTTAGGAATAATATAAAAGCATCCGATTTTACAAGAAATATAGTCAGTCCAACAATTTTGACAAAGGCCTCAGCACGCCCTATTTTGGCCACGCTGCGATACTTTCCTCAGATGTCCAACACGTGAAGTATAGGATCGGCTTTTTTTACAGGGATGAGAAGAATATGATTAGTGAAAAGATATGTTCGAACAGATGGGATACAATACAACGTCTGAAGAACGCCTGAATGTACAAATTAAAGGAAGCCTTGTATTTTTTAGGTCGTGTGTGTACATGTCATTACAAAGTTTAAGTTAAAGTTCAATAGTTTTTGTCCAGGCACCCGTTTCTCCATCTCTGGAATCGTTCAAAGGCACTGCCTACTATATCTTATACCATCTAACTAATAACTTTGGCCATTCTTGTAATGTTAGTAAGTCGAAATTTCGAGTTAGTAAGTTGAAATTTCGAGATAAGTAACTCGAAATTTCGAGTTAGTAAGTCGAAATTTCGAGTTAGTAAGTCGAAATTTCGAGATAAGTAACTAGAAATTTCGAGTAAGTAAGTCGCAATTTCGAGTTAGTAAGTCGAAATTTCGAGTTAGTAAGTCGAAATTTCGAGTTACTAAGTCGAAATTTCGAGTTAGTAAGTCGAAATTTCGAGTTAGTCACTCAAAATTTCGAGATAAGTAACTCGAAATTTCGAGTTAGTAAGTCGAAATTTCGAGTAAGTAACTCGAAATTTCGAGATAAGTAACTCGAAATTTCGAGTTAGTAAGTCGAAATTTCGAGTTAGTAACTCAAAATTTCGAGTTAATAAAAAACATACACCTGGCACTAATGCTCTTCCGTAATTAATCCTTCACAAACAATGAAAATATAAGTCTTGCAGTTGGTTTTAAATTAAAGTTTATTCTTGCAAATAACATAAAATTAAAGAAGAAACTACAGAAAGTACAATAATACTTTTTCAACTTATTCAAACTGTCTCCATATGTGTTACGAGTTATATAGACTGGATATTACATGGATTTGAAAATAGAGTTGGTTTTATATTCCTAATTCTTTGAAGCCTGCGGCTGTTATACGGGCTAACCTGTATATTCATATACATCATGACGGTCCAACAGGTTCTTCACTAGTTGCTCAAATTTTAGTAGTTATTACAATATCACAGTCATCACTGTACATTTACAAATTAAACTGAACACATGCAATAGCAGATGTAGCAAGGTCATATCTAAATATGGTGAATTATCTTAAAGGTGATTTAAGATTATTGGGTCATATTGTAAATCTTTATCATTGAAAGGTCAACACTGTTTATGCTGTAATTGCTACACTGCAATGACACTGAAGCCACGAAGGCATGCTAGTAAACAGTCCCATTACCCCCAGCGTGTTTATGTTTTAAATACACATTAATGAGCCGTGTCATGACAAAAACAACGTAATGCGTTTGCGACCAGCATGGATCCAGACCAGCCTGCGCATCCGCGCAGTCTGATCAGGATCCATGCTGTTCGCTATCAGTTTCTCTACTTTAACTACTTATAATAGAGTTGGTAAGCGAACAGAATGGAACCTGATCAGACTGCGCGGATGCGCAGGCTGGTCTGGATCCATGCTGGTCGCAAACCCACTATGTTGGTTTTGTCGTGACGCGGCTCATTTAATCTCACTACAATTTTCATAACAGTGTTTATATTTTCGCCATGGAGATTTATATTTCAAACAGATTATTCTATTTAGCTTGGGGACTTGTAACTCTGTTCTTTGTCTACAAGCTTATTTTAGAAGTATATACGTATATCCTCAGTATCTTAATTGCATACATTTTGCTTAAATTATATGCAAAAAAGTTTAAAAATAAAATAAAAATAAAAGGGCAAGCTGTATTGATAACCGGATGTGACACAGGTATTTGCTATTTTTTATTTGATAATTGCTCTTTTTAGATTTTCGTAATAACATAAAAACATTTTCTTAAAAGAAGTTATGGAAATTTATATAGTCTAAATTAATACTTTTGATTTTTTACACATATAGACACTCGAATAATGTAAAAAATGTACTATAGGTTCTATACAACGCATGCTTTGTGTTTACTTTTACAGCAAATGCACTTAATAGCACTTTTCATGTTGAGTTTATGTTACTTAAACCTTCATATTAATTTTTCGTGAAAATGTATATAAAACAGACGAGCATTTTATAATTCTTCAGTTTATTTGCGAATGTGCTGTTGTGTTGTTGTGAAAACAAGGTCACCAATAAGATAAAAATATCAGTAATATAATTATCTCCACATTGAAGAAAATGTTACGGGATATATGATAATTATGATGATTTTCTAACATATTTAAGAGACATGTGTTAATTTCATAAAATTGATTTCATAGAATTAACGTAACACGTGTATTTATTATTTATTTATATAGCATAAAATATTTGTATCTTACCGTAAAGTAGGTTCAACGAGACTGGGCATTGTAATTTAAGCCGCGCCATATGACAAAACCAACATAATGGGTTTGCGATCATGCAGCATGGATCCAGACCAGCCTGCGCATCCGCGCAGTCTGATCAGGATCCATGCTGTTTGCTATCAGTTTCTCTACTTGTAATAGAGTTGGTAAGCAAACAGCGTGGATCCTGATCAGACTGCGCGGATGCGCAGGCTGGTCTGGATCCATGCTGGTCGGAAACGCACTATGTTGGTTTTGTCGTGTCGCGGCTCATTTGTATGTTTTTTCACATTGTATATAAGGCAATGAAATTGACGTTATTACTTTCATATCTCAGTTTCAGTATATTTTCTAAAATAATAATAGAGAAATTAAGTCACAAAAAAATGCATTTAAAAAGGTGTTGTATAGATTATACCAATTATGTAAATGTTGTTCTGAGACCGAAGATGAATAGCATTTTATTCTTCGTCACATAGAAGATTTTATTCTTATATTCAATAGTTACCATGATTTAAGAAATTTATCAAATTTATTTGTTAAGCCAATATATGACAGGAAATTATTTATTGAATCCATATCCTATAACAATTAACATAATGTTCAATGATACTTTATTAGCTAAATAGTTCTTCTATTCAATATCTAACTTTCAAACTAATTAGAGCGTAATCTCCAGATTCTATAAACTGAAACATTCATTTTTTGATATATTTTATACCAAACGTGACAAAAATATTTTCTATTACTAGCAGTTTTAATGTTTAACGAGATACATGTTAATGTATAAGTTAATGAAATGAAATATTTTCTTCTTCTATATTTTTCTTATTCCTCGGGGTCCTCCGGAGTCATGGATTTAAGCACATTGAATGCTGAAGATTGATTAGAGGTTAAGCGGATCGTGAGGGATATTGTACTTTTGTATTACTCCTCATGAACAGACTCAATTAAACAGAGTCTGCAATTTTCATGTAATTTCGTTGTTTTTATTGCATTGCTTCCGAGGTATCACCCCCTTTCCGGATTTGTAAAATCTATTCTCTAAATTTAAAAACAAAAACCAAATTTTTTTTTTCTAAAAGTATGTAAAAAATTTGTTTATATTTAAAAGCCCCCTTTCCAAATTTTAAAATTTGTGTAAAATGTTGCATTAAAGTTTAAAGCCCTTTTTTTATTAGAAAAAATGTTTACTATAATTACATATATGTTGTTATTTAAATTACTGAATTAAAAAAATCATACTGGGGGAGGGGGGGGTCATTTTTGGAGCTCGAATGAAGAGGATCAGAGAATGATGTACTATTGAACATTTCTGTGAATGTAACAACTTTTCAGAAATTTCATTGTTAAGTAAATAAAAATTAATGGAGGTATCATTATATAAGGTAAATATACATAAGTGTTAAACAAAAATCTGCATACTAGTAAATGAAAGTTCAAAATTGAAAGGATAAAACTAATCGAAACAACTTCTTGGCTTTTCACACATCCAGCATAATGTTGTTATGGTTGAACGTACTTGAGATGCGATAAAATGAATAATTTGCTAGGAAATACTAAGAGCTTCCCTAGGTCTAGAAACAACTTCCTAAGTGTTATTCCTGCTTCTCATAATGTTTTTCTACAGAAATAAATCATAAAATCAAAATAAAATATTGTATGCAAGAAAGCACGTCACTTTTTTGTCAAATAGTCACTTCTATGGACAAACAAACGCATATTGTTTGTACCTATGATAATATTGTAATATCAATTTCGCGTTAGTTATTGTAAAATAATTCTTATTTGTATGATTTAGACAACTATTGTACTATCTTTGTATTATAACTATATATATATTGTGTTAGCAAATGATTTTGGGAGAATATACTTATTTATTTGTTGTTTTTGCATTATGTTATTTATACAGATTAATTTTTTTGTGGTTAATGCTTCCGATGGATCAACCTTCTTCCAGAATTTTATAATTCACAACAGCAGGTATAAAGCGCCATACAGTAGCCGTAAATAGTTGCACGGTACTTCACTTCAGTGTTGTTATATTTGTCTGGTCCTTCTAACACTTTCTAGGGGTTGAGTATTGAGAACCGTTCAAGCGGGTGCTAGGGGATGTGAGGCATGTGGCACATTTTCATTATACCTTATGTACAGACTCAATCAAACCGAGTTTGCTATTTTCATTTAACTTTGCTTTTCTTAATTCTTCCGAGGGATCCCTTTTTCCAAATATTTATTTATCCCTATTTCTATTTACTGTTATTATTATCAATTTATTTTAAAATCTACTAAAGCTATATATCTGTATATTGGCGAAAAATATATAAATCTATGTTTTAAATGTTGTATCCGATGTTTTTTAAAAATAGTCTAAAATATTTTTAAAGGTTTAGGCCATGATGCCGCACTGCGTCTTGCAAGCATTGGGTTCAATGTATTCGCTGGTTGTTTGACACCTGACGGTGTAGGAGTAAATACTCTCCGAGAGAAAGGTGGAGAAACACTTCACGTGGTACCATTAGATGTTACTAGTGATACAAGTGTTAAAGATGCATTGGAGGTTGTTAAACGAAAAAGTCCAGACGCAGGTAAACTTTTGAAAAGTAATTACAACTAAAAAAAAACATGAAACTGGACGCGTACTACATTTGATATACATTTGTATATATGCAGACTTTTTCTGCAGCATATATATTTAGGAAACGAATGAATACTTTGAATCTTTTTCGATAAAGCATTATACTGTTTAAAGAAAAAACTTGCAATTTAGTCGATTAAATGTCACTGTTAATTTCATTATCAAATTGATGCAAGCTACTTATTTTCAAGGTCACTGATTACAAAGTATTATCAGTGGAATGATCTGATCCATAGACTGAATGGGATGGGTCAAGCTAAACAAGCAATTGCAGTCTATATGGCTATATAATATCTTCTCATTTTAAAACCAAGTCAACTCCTAATTAATGTCGACAACTAATTGTATTAATTATAAAAAAGCATTTTTTGAATTTGAATTCTTGATGCTGCTTTAACTACCATATGTTGTAAAAATGATGGTTAAAATAAAATATTCGTGTAATTAAATGTAATGATGAAAGAGGTCTTTAGTTTTTAGAAGAAATATTCATGTAAACGATAATATGTGCACTGTATTACTCATATCCGTTCCAGGACTTTGGGCAGTAATTAACAATGCGGGTATTGCTTTCAATGGGGATGTTGAAATTGCTAGTATTGAGACGATGAAGCGAATTGCAGAGGTCAATATTTACGGAATGATCCGAGTAACACAAGCTTGCCTGCCTCTGATCAGGAAAAGTAAAGGTATGGTATAGATACTTAAGTTTGGTAAGTGCTATGGTGAATGATTTAAATTGAGATTAAAAAGAAAGGAGGTCATGGTTTGATGCTGAAGAAACTAAAGTATTTCTGTCATTTTTAAGCTATAAAACATTTTCTCTCGATAGGAAATCTCAAAATCATGATGCAATAACTACACGAGATCAATAGATTCTATAACATATGCTTTCATAATATTTTTATTTGTCGTTTTTCGGATGTAAAGTTTTTAAATTCGGTTAAAATACATATTTTATCACGCCTGGTACGCGATATGTATTGTAGGTAGGATTATAAACGTTACAAGTGTAAAAGGGCGTCTAGCCATTCCAACTGATGCACCCTATACGATGACAAAATGGGCAGGCGAAGCATTATCGGACAGTCTACGGAGAGAAATGTACAGATTTGGTGTCAACGTCATTATAATAGAACCCGGGCATTTTGGAGGAATAACTGGAATGCTTACAAATGAAAGTGTAAGATATTTATAGTTTTCCATTGTCAATACGTGATTTATTACTTTGCATGGGTTTTGTTTGTAGTGCAATTCATTTGTCTCATCCTAGGTATTTATTATCAAGAATGTTAATTGATTTTATCACTATAAATATTATTTATAAATAATTCATAAGTATTATATGATAATTTTGCTTTCTCTTTCAAGCTCTTTATGTCTTTCATGTAAAAGAATTCTGTAGAGATACAAATATTGTCAATATTAAACTGTATACAACGATAGGTTAGGAAAAGTAATTAATAATTGATGCCTTCAAAGCTGATGTATTTCATGTTAACTTACAAAATGTTACTCATTATTTTCCATATTTAAGGGAAAACTTGCTACAGAAAACTTAGAAGAGGCATGGCACAATGCCTCTTCTAATGTCAAATCAGTTTATGGTAGACAGTACATAGATGGTCTAATAAACAACATCCGACATGTTGGAGAAGGTGGCGCCACCAACACGGAACCTGTTTCAGACGCCATGCAGGATGCAGTAGAAAACGTCAGTCCTAAATACCGGTACCTTGTACATGGAACAAACAGCTCTTTTGACAAATATTGCGTAAGACATTGTTCTTCTCATTGTTCTCAATGTTCAAGAAAAATAGTTCAATATTAATATTACATGTATAATATTACATATGCATATTAACAATACAGTTCATGGCAGCTTCACCAGGGTTTGCATACAATCGGTATTTATATCATTTCATGGTAGGAAGCTGTCCAGCTAGCTTATGGAAAGCCGGTTGTTCTAAACAGGTTCCCATCAATACTGTATAATAAAATAAAGCTGGAAAGTGACCTTTGGTCCAAAATCTAAGAAACAAACACAAAACACAGAAGTCAACCATAAATGTCACATTTGTTTTACTTGGAAAGTAAAAGTTCAATAAATCTATTCACAGGTGCTTGCTGTATTAAACCAGGTTCTGCCGGAAGTAGTGATGGATTGGTTAGTTAGATACACATTTCCCTTGCCACGTACGACTGAACAAAATAATTGAGGTTCATGCAGAGAAATCTACAGACGAAATAATAGACTTTCTCTCTTTATCCAGATTTCAATCATAATAACTTTTGTTGTTGTTTTTTTTTTATTTCTACGCTATAACAAAAGAAAAATATTCTTGTACGAATTCACAATGGTCTGTCTAATCATGATCTATGAACTACAGATATAGGTAAAGAAGATGGAACCAGGGATTTATGTATTCTAGTAGTCTGCACAATTCCTGAAACAAGTTAATAAACTATTACAGTTTGATTGAGTCGAATTAGTTTTTGTTGTTTTGTTGGTTCTTTCTTGTTTGATGGTGTTTCAGTTACATTATTTTAATTTACGTAAACACCGTTATTTAAAAAAATCTACTGATGAGTAAATGTGTTCAAAGGGTTTAACCTTCCAATTAGCTCAATAGGTAGAGCATTGGACTGTGAATCGGGAAACCTGCGTTTGATTACCGGACAGTGCAGGTCATTTTCGTAGTGATCGATCTACGGTCACTCACACTGTACCCATGCTCTGGCATGTAAAGATATTATCAGTTCGTTTCGAAAGTGAAGGCAACTAGTACTGGTAAGCGGCTGGAAGTCTGCCCAGGAACGATGCGGTGGCTGAACTGTACTCCCGTAAAATAAGCGGACATGTACATGTCCATTTAAATGAAATGTTCACTCATCTGTATTATTTCTCCGTGGAGTTGCCCTGTCAAAGAACAAAGAGCTTATCGCATTTTGTTTAACGAAATATTCTTTCCGTTATACAGTTACATAAAGTATATTTTTAAACGATTTATGATTGATCGGTTTTTTAAATAGTTATGTACAAAAGTAGATCTTAAATAAGGAAGTGACTTTGCTGTACGCTTCTATAAAAGCTATGGCTCTGATTACAAACTGAACATTCTAAAATAGCAAAATACCTTTACTCATCTTTGAACAACTACTAATTACATTTAAGATGCATCACACCCTCATTCATGCGTAAACATAATTATTAATTATATTAAAACAATTCAAATCAACTCAAACATTTGTCTTTGAAAACTAATAGAACATGTCTTGGGCAAAATCGTTCTAGGTAACAAATGACTCAATAAAACAAAAATTAACATTAACTATATTAACAATAAATGAAATATAATGTAAAATATGTCCTCTTTAGAATCCACAATCATGCCAAGATAAATCAAAATATAGAGAATCAGTATTCCGATACGTTAATCTTTCTTAAAGTTTAAAATGCATATTTTCATGTAACAATTCAATGTCGTAAGGGTGAATTTTGAATTCATTTGTTAATTTATATTGATCCAAAATGAAAACTTAACACTGGTAACACTTGATTTTTTTCTTTAACTGTTCAAATCAAATATTTTAGACAATATCCCTAGCAAATATATTTTTTTACGAATCGCTGAATTTCTGGAAAATATACAGTCACGTGTTAGAAAACAGGTAATCTTGTGTAACTTCACGTCTTTCAAATGACGTTTACAAACTATGGAGTCAGTCTGTTGTCACTGTTGATAGAGCCTTTATTTGTTCACGACCTCAGAACGCTAATGTTTTAAACCGTGACAGTTGCCGACCGTACCAGGTAAGGAGCCTTACCTGTGACGAATCGCTAAAGAACGCACAAAGCCTTTGGTGAATGAAAATGAAAAACTGAGAAATATACATCCGCCACCGTCATTAAACTTTATGATGACATGGTCGTTAATCACTGGAAATCAATCGCTCGCCATTAGGAGAGTCTGGATTTTTTTCTTCTTGACAATAAGAGTATATATATGACAGTATAAATTGGCAATTTCATTTTCAAATGTCAGTTTTCGAATAGAAACATGTAAGAAATGTAAGGCCCATAAGAAAGCAATGTAAGCCCCATAAGAAAGCAGAGTATTCCCGAAGGACACATTTATAATAGCGCATACATGGTCGGACCCAAAACATGCCTCTATAAAATTATATTCGGTTATGCATACTCTTTGATTTACAGGAGCCATTCGTAAAATCCGAGATTTGGTCTAAAATGAACATTTGCTTAACGCCAGGAAATTACCAAAAAATTCCCGACAGTTTCTATTTTCAAAATTTATCATTTCATTTTCTTATTATATAAGCAGAAGCCCGCTAGCCAGAACAACCAAAGATAAAGCTAGTAACCTTTATGAAGATGTGGTTTTATATGTACCATTTGTTTTTTGTGCAGGTTTGACTGTTTTATCTCTGGCTAGCACGATTCGGTCAGGACCGGAGTTAGACTGGTCGGCCTGTCTAAACTAGATTCTGGCTAGACAGCACAGCCGAAGAAGGCAAAAGTGTTCCGGCTGTTTCGGGTGTCAAGCTAACTAAACAGCAATTTCTTACGAAGCCAATGTTATTTAGAAAACACACACGCACACACACGCGCACACACGGGCGCGCGCGCACGCACACACACACACACCAACACACACACACACACGCACACACACACAAATACACTTTCCAATTCATTGGATATGTCCTTAATGCAAATGGACTACTCATTTTTAAATTGAATACGAGATATTAAATTCTCATTCATGCATTAGGGAGATTATCAAACATTTGTGTTTTAGTTGGGACGTAGTTCCAACTAGTGTACTTACAAACCCGAAATTTCCAACCATACAGGGTAACGCCCACTGCAGTGACGTTTCATCACCACTATAATTTTTATATGCTATATTGTATTCCTACATTTTTCAAGGAAGTTGAATTCATAGTGATCATCCGACCATGACCGACGCAAAACCGCCGCGAGTGAAAAAATAGTGCTCTATATTTCTGAAAACTTAGATTTATTGCGAATAGAAGAGGAGATAAAAAATTTATTTTTTGAAAATCATGTGCAATTTTAGCTTGAATTACGGTATTAGAAATGTAGCGGATATAATTTGAAAGGTCGAGTAATCATATGAATGGAGATTGTAATTGGTTCATAGTAATTCTACGAATGGAGATCTCAATATTTAGCCTTATCATCACATTTTGTGTATGATATTCCGAAATTTTTGAAAAAGACAATTTTTATCGAATAAATTTTGTAGTTTATGCAAAGTGAATATTGAAATAGAAATAGCCAGAGATGTAGATAATCTATGTCGCTGAAATATTTTTAGCCTATACTGTAATGTACAGTAATTAGATTAATCCGACAACTTCCGGTTTACTTTATGACCTACTTGACATGCATATCAGCCTGTTTAGCCCATAAGGTAAGTTTTGAAGCAAAATATGTTATGAATTTGATGAATAATAATAATAAGTTTATTTATTGATGTCAATTCGTTCCCGAACCTAAAACTTTCGTTAATAATTTCGAAGTAATTTGAGAGATCTCGAGTCTTTCGTCCCCATGACATTTCGACCCTACTGTAGCCTAGTCTCAATTTTTGGAGTGCAAGTAAAATGTACAAAAAAGAAATAAGTTTAAAGCTTCATAAGTATAATAAAACTATTAACAATAAGTTCAGAAATTAAAGTCATTCAGACCCCAGAGCTTATTGGTCTTTACTGAATAAATACTCGGGAGAAAGAAATAAAATTATGTCTAATATAAGTGCAGAGGCTTTTTATGAACATTTCAGTAAATTGAATGAAAATAATGAGGGAGAGACTGTTGATTTTGACATAACCAATATATCAGATTATAATTTTGAATTGAACTCCACTTGTTATTTACATGACAATATATTGAATGAGTATATCAAGTACTCTAAAGATATTATGCTGCCTGTTCTTAATAAATTGTTTAATATCAATTTTGAATCAGCATGTGTCCCAGAAGTCTGGTGCAAAGGAGTTATTTTTCCTGTTTATAAAAAAGGGTGATGTAAATAACACAGACAACTACAGAGGAATCACTATTTTAAGTTGTTTAGGAAAATTATTCACAAGTATTCTTAATAACAGACTTAATTCCTTTATAGAAAATTCAGGATTATTATGTGAAGAGCAGGCTGGTTTTCGTAAAGATTATGGAACTTTACATCATATATTTACTTTGAAACTGTTAGTTGATTTTTATCTAAGTAAGAATAAGAAATTATATTGTGCATTTGTGGATTATAAAAAAGCTTTCGATTCTGTAAATAGAACGTTTTTGTGGATGAAACTTTTAAAGCACAATGTAGATCGTAAAATGCTAAAGGTAATTTATAGTATCTACGACAAAGCTAAATCATGTGTAAAAAGCACTCGGGGTTTATCAACATATTTTACAAGTGCAACAGGTGTCCGTCAAGGTGAAAACCTATCACCTATTCTTTTTTCTGTCTTCCTGAATGATCTTGTAGAACATATCTCAAATACGTATAATGGTTTAGTTTTTATTTCTTTGATTACTCCCCACCCCCTCCCCCGGTCTCCTGTCCCCTTCCCCTTTGTGGGCCTATTTTTATTTTCTTTGAATTCCTAATCAGTTAATCAAATTAATTATCATTTAATGATTAACCTCTCCGTGCTCTGTCTTTGCCCTGTCCTGTTTTTGTTTGGGGTCCCCCTGGGCTCCTTGCCATTGGTTCTTGTTTCTGGGTCATGTGGGGGTTGCGTTCATTGAACGCCGCCTTTCCTTGTTGATCTTGTTTATCATATTTTAGATTTACTTTCGCAGTCTATTAAAAATGTACCAAGTGATGATATAGTAGAGGTTTACTTTAAATTGTTTTTACTGCTTTATGCTGATTAAACTGTAATTTTTGCAGAATCTGCATCTGATTTTTAATTAGCACTAGATGCTATGTCTACTTATTGCGAGTTATGAAAAGTCGCCCCGTACATTTAATCAATGATGTTATATTTTCGATCCTTGAAGATCGTTCAGCACGACATTATTGTTGTGCTTGTGGTATTTTTAGTTTCAACTTTTCGGCATTTTCTAGTTGGGTGGTTCCAATATTCCTACTTGAATAATGTTGAATCACCCTTAGGATATGTTGCCTGCTTTTTAAATTTGTCTTTTGACGTCTTATCTGTGATACGCAGGCTAAATAACCTCTGACCCCCTTTCAAAATTCTATTTTATTTAGTTCCGCCCATTGTTTTCTCGTTTAGGGCACACGCTTTTTATTACTTGGGGACCATACGCCGCTTTTCATGGAATGGCACGGAAGTGTCACATTGAAGGTTCCATGATAACCGCCGTATGAACACATCTGCGAATTCTGCTTAAGCCGGTGCTAGGGGGCGTGGACGGTAACTTGCACTTTCCAGTACCGTCCATGAACAGGCTCAATC